GAGCTGGGGAGGGGGGGGGCAGCACCCCAAAAATCACTGCCGGCACTCCCCACGGCACCCCAAAGGCTGCATTAGGGGATGGTGCAGGGGGGGGATAGGGGCAAACTTTGGGACCCCACACCCCATATGCCACGGGGGGGGGGGGGTCGGGCCGGCACTCACCCTCCCGCACGGGCACGGCGGGCACCGAGAGCTCTCGGATGCGCTGGCTCCAGGTTTGGGCGATGCGCAGGTTCCCCTCGGCGTCGGGGCCGTGGGCGACTCGGAAAGTCCTCTGCAGGCGCTGGCGAGCTGGGGAGCCCCAGCGGCCTTTTCGGAAGGGATAACACACCACGGAGAAACAGGCGGAGGGCGAGGAAGAAGAGGAGGAGGACGAGGAAGAGGAGGAGGAGGAGGAAGGGAAAGCCGCCGAGCCCACGCAGTCGGCCAGGGGCAGCGCAGCGCCGGTGCCATCGGGGCGCAGCACCTGCAGCTCCCGCTCCGTCAGCGCCAGCGCCCAAGCGGCCCCCCCGGGGGCCAGCCCCGGCCAAAAACGGCCCCGCAGCACCGCGTCCTCACCCCCCCCGCTCCCCCCCAGGCTGCTGCAGCCTCCCCTTCCTCCTCCTCCTCCTCCTTTTCCTCCTCCGCCGCCGGGTTGCGGGGGGGGTCGGCGGCCGGCGGCCATCGGAGCGCACCGGGGGCAGCGCCGCCCGCAGCCGACACCCGCCCGGCAACGGCAGGCGGGGCCCGGCCCGGCCCCATTTAACCCCCCCCCCCCCCCCCCCTTCCCCGGAGGTGAAGCGGGGCGGTGCTGCTCGGCTTTTTCCCGGCCCTCCCCTTTTTTTGCCTTTTTTTTTTTTTTTGTGGTTTTTCCAAAGGGGGAGGGCGCGCCGCGCGCGCGTCACCGGCTTCGTGGTTTTTTGGTGTTTTTTTTTGGTGTTCTTTTTTTTTTTGTGTGTGTGGGGGGGGCTTTTTGTTTTTTTTTTTTTTTTGGGGGGTGCTGGGGGCACGCTGCGCACTGCGGTGATCTGAGGGGGGGTTTGGTGGTTGTGCTGCTCGCACGCCGAGGGGTGCCGGCACCCGCACGCACGCAGGAAGGCCGAGGGTGGCTGTGCCGGGCTCGGGTTGTGGGGTTGGGGGGGGGTCGTGGCCACGTCGTGCCCCCCAGCCCCCCGGGATGGGCTGAGCAGAGACCACTGGCAGCATTCAGCAGCCCCACATCTGATCCCACATCCACCCCCAGCCCCATATCCAACCCCAGACCCCTCCAGCCCATATCCAACCCCAGACCCACCTCCAGCCCCATATCCACCCCCCAGCCCCACATCTATCTGCCAGCAGCCCTACATCCACCCCCAGCCCTGCATCCAGCCCCAGTCCCGTATCCAACCCCAGCCCCACATCCATCCCCAGCCCCACATCCATCCAGCCCCAGCCGCAGACCCCATAACCCTGAGCTCTGGGCTCGGGGACGCATTGCTCTTCACCCAGACGGCTTCATGACCTGCGAGCCCGCTGTGCCCATTTAAATCCCCCAAAACCCACCAACAATTTGAGGCAGGGGATGGCCAGCCGGGCAGACAGCAGGGCCGTGTGAGCCTGGCTGGCCAAGGGTGCCCTATAAAAACAGAGGCAAGGGGGCAGGATTGGGCACACCACGCGTCCCAAAAGGACTTCTCCAGGCTCTGGGGCAAAACCCAGCCCCACAGATCGGCCGCCCGATGCTTCTGCCTGGGGAACCCCAGCACCGATGCCGGCTGAGATTTGGGGCCACAGCACCGGGCAGACCCCGCAGACGGCCCCAAAGCCTGGGCAAGGTGCCCGGGGGAGGGAATAGCCACCCGTGGGGAGCACGGGCTGCCGGCCTGCCCCTCGCCTCGCCGCCCCGCCGGTGACTCAGGCGCTCTGAATTTCCGCGCAGGAAGGCACGGGGACAGCAGGAGGAAACGAGAGCGGCCGCATGGACGGCCGCCGGCAGGTGCCACGGGGTGACAGGGACGGGTCGGGATCTGGCCACGCTGCGGGACATCCAGTCTGTGGCTCCGGGCCACGGGGACGCCATCACCTTCCCCCCAACCCCCCCAAAAAAATGTTTGAAATGAGGTTTGGAGACCCAAACTCTGTGGCCACCGGCCGATTCCTCCCGGCCCCACGCAGACGCTGTTGGTTTGCCCCCAGCCGCGGCGTTTGGTGCGGAAGCGGGCAGGCCTCCGTCACTGCCCCGTGCCGATAAACAATCATTTGGGGCTACCCTAATTACAGGAGCCTTAACGAGCCGCCTTGCGCGGGCAGGAGAGGGAAGGATGCTTGGCGGATGGGTTTATCCCGACCGGCCCCATTCCCACCCGGGATGGGAAGGATGAGGGCATCTCCTGGGGCTCGTATCCCACAAGCTGTAGGTTTGGGGTTTAGAATGCAAGTTTTGGGGCTGTGGGACCCTGGAAGTCCCTGGGCCTTACAGCAACGTCCCTGTGACACACAGAGCCCAGCCTGGCTTCATGTGGGGATGGGGGCTTCACCCCAAGGTTTCTCAGCCCATGGGGATTTGGGCAGCTTCCTAAATCCCAGCCGGCACAGCCCAGGACCATGGGGTTCGCCACAAAGCCCTCGGCCAGCTTTCTGATGGTAAAAAATAATAAAAATAATAAAAATAATAAAATATAAAATGATAAAATAATAAAAATAATAAAAATCCTGCCGGGCTTTATTTACCCCATGGTGTATGAATGCAGCACTACAGCATTACTAATGCCCCCGCCCAGCCAAATCCTACCCCACGAGGCCGGGGAAAACCCTTCACAAGGAGCTAAACCCAAGGCAGCCCCGATCCGTCCCAGCGGGCTGTTAATGAAATATTAAAGGAAATAATGAAATCGCTGCGAGGCCTCGGGGCCATGGGGGGGCTTCTGCCGCCTGGGGACCTGCTGCGGGATGGGGAGGGAAATGTTCCCCAAGGAACGGCCCCGCTGCGCCTCTGCCCGGCCCTACAAGCAGAACCTTCGGCCCTGGGGCAGGGGAAGGTTGTTGGTCAGGGCGATAAGGGCCCCGATATCAGCCCCGATAACAGCCCCGATATCAGCCCCGGCCTCTGCCCGCGCACCCCAAGGGGACAGGGGTGGCTCTGCCAGCAGGGCAAAGTGCGCGGCACCAGGGGGGAATTTGGGGCTGAAAAAGGGCAGGATTGGGGCAGTTTTGTGGTAGGACATGTTGGGGACCCATGGGGGCCAGATCTGGGCACCCCCACGGGGCTACCCGAGCCTTGTCCCATCCTTTGGGGTGTCCCCGCTCCCCCGGCAGCAGGAGGGTGCAGCAGGGCCCTTGGGGCAGCAGCCGGCTCCCCAAATCCCATAAATAATCCCTCAGCTTCTTCCTTTCGCAGGGCAAAGCCACAAAATGGCCACAGCGTGCCCTACAACTACCAGCTGGCTGTCACTCGTGGGGCAGCCTTGTGGGGTCACCTAACCCTGTCCCCATGGAGGGTGAGGGGACAGGGGGGGACACTGAGGGGACGGGGGGACACTGGGGGACGGGGGGACACTGAGGGCTTGGGGCAGCCGTGCTGTGGTAGCCACAGGCCTGTGGAGGCCGTTTGGGCTGAGGGAAGAGGGGAAGGGGGAATGGGGCTGGGGTGAAGCACGGCTGCAGGCCCCATGGGGTGCAGGGGACGTGGGGGGGCAGCGGGGGACCCCATAGGGGTCCCCTCAGGCCTCCAGCTGCCTGCGGGTGAGGGGCCAGAGCTGGGACGTTGCATAGGGCCGCCCTAAAGCAGCCATGGGGCCACCCTAAACCCCGGCACCTCCATCAGGCCACGGGGAAGCCCTGTGCAGGCCGGGGGTGGTGGTTTTGGTGTCAGTGACTTTTTTTGGTGTCGGTGACTTTTTTTGGGCCCCAAAACCAGCCAGGGACTCCCCTGTAGCCCCCCCGGGGCACACGGGGCTGTCCTGAGGGGACACGGACGCCATCGCGGTCCCCACCATGGACAGGACGCCCTTGTGGGCAGCTCCCAGCTCTGGGGCAGAAAACGTGTTTGTTTTTTTTTGATATTTTAATTATTTTTTAATTACTTGTTTTTATTATTATATTTCCTTCTTTTTCATCTTTATCATCTTTATCATTTTTATTATTTTTATATCTTCTTCTTTTTTCCTTCCTCCTATCATCATCATCATAATCATCATTTCTTCTCTCTCCTTCCTTCCTCCTGTCACTTTTCATTATTATTAATATTTTATTATCATTATCACTATTATAATTATAATTAATAATAATTATTTATTAAAAACATAAAAAATATAGAAAAAATATTTTTTCTCTAGGGAACCTGCTTTGGCAGGGGGGTTACACCCGACGATCACTCGAGGTCTCTCCCAACCCCTATCATTCTGTGCTAATTTATTTATAATTAATTATTTCTCCCCCGTGCCCCCACCCCCAGGACCCCCAGGAGACCTTGGAGGACTCAGGGCCCCGCCCCTCCCCGCCTGCCACAGAGCGGAGCCCAGAGCGCCCCCGCGCCGCTTCCGGCGGGGCGGCGGCCATCTTGTGTGCGGGCAACGAAGCCACCGCCGTGCCCGGGAAGAGGCACGCAGAGGGGAAGCGGCCGAGGAGCGCCGCAGCCGCGCTCGGGAAGCGCCAGGAGGCTGGCGGGGGAGTTCTCGACCGTCCTCACGCCTCCTCCTCCGCTACCGGCTCGGTGCGGGCGGCAGCGGCCTCCTCTCTCCCCGCCGCGGGGGCAGGAGCGCCGTGCCCTCACCTAAGATGGCGGCGGGGTGCGCTCCGCCCCCGCGGCACAAAATGGCGGCCGGGCGGGGGCGGCGCTCTATCCCCTCATCCTCTATGGCCGCGGCGCTGCCAGGAGGACCCCGACCCCAAAAGCGCCCCCCCCACACACAGCCCCCGCACCCCATTTCCACCCCCATTACCCCCCTAGGGCTGCCCCCAGCCCTTTTTTTTTTGGGGTGCCGCGGGGGCTGGGGGCTCACCGCGGTTGCATTGTGGGCGGGCACATCGCTGGGCGAGACCTTCCTCCTCCTCCTCCTCCTCCTCCTCCTCCTCCTCCCCACCCCTCAGGGGGGCGGCGATCGGGCGGCGGGGAGGGCGAGGAGGATGCCACGGAAGCTGTTGCTGCCTCACAGAGCTGTTTGTCCTCCCTTTCGGGCTCCCCGGGGGCCGCATGAGGCGCTGGCGATGAACGCTGCCAGGAGCGGCTACCGGGTCTTCTCGGCCAACTCCACCGCCGCCTGCACCGAGCTGGCCAAGCGCATCACCGAGTGAGTGCCCGCCGAGCCCGGGGTGTGGGGGGGGAGAGGCTCGGGGGGGGGCTTCCAGCACCTTCCCCCTGCCGCACACCCCCGCTGCGGATCCCTCTGGGCACGGGGTTTGGTGTGGAGAGCTTCCAGCAGCCCCGTCTGAGCCCCCCCGGGTGCTGCCCGAGCCCCCCCGGGTGCTGCCCGAGCCCCCCCGGGTGCTGCCTGAGCCCCCTCAGCTCTTTTTTTCAGAGCTGGTGAAGAAACCCCCCCCGGCTGCGTGGCTGCTTCAGGTGCCACACGCAGCCCCGGCCTCTGCTGTGGGGCAGGAGGAGGTGGAAGTTGGTGGAATCGGCATCAAAAAGCGATCAGCTGTCTTTTGGGGGGTGTTTAAAACTTTGGGGGGGTCTAAAACTTTGCTAATTTGAGGGCAGGGGGTTGGGAGTTTGTTTGCTCCTCCACTCGGAGCCTGGGAGGGGATCTGTGCACTGACCAGGGTGGGTTTGGTGTCCTGCTGGCGTCTCGGTGGGCTAAGCAAGCAGGGTTTGGTTTAGGGATAGAAATGTCGTGGTTTCCCCCTGCTCTTTTTTTTTTCTGATCTGTTCCTTTAGGCACAGCTTGCTCGCGGTGGGGCTGGAGGCGCCGGGTCCTGCTGCGTGAGGTAACAGCCGGCCCCGAGATGTGGCGCTTGGTGCGCGGGGTTCCCACCGACACCTCGCCTCTCGTTTTGGGTTAATTCCGTGCAAATTGGGGCAGGCAACAAGTGGGAGCTCCCAGCCGAGCTCCTAAGAAGCAGGGACATGCACATTGTGGCGCTGCTGCCAAAATTGGGGGTCTTGTGTGTCTTCCACGGCAGGTAGCGTCCTCGCCCTGCTCGAGGGGGTAGGAAATTAAATTGGAAGGATCTCTAAAAACAGGTGTGCGGCCTTAAATCGTGAGAAGGCTTTGCTGTGAGCCCAGCTAGCCCAACAAACAGGGTGCTCAGCACAGGTAATCTCCCCGCAGCTGACTCCGCTGTTTGTCCGGGATCGCCGGTGCTGATGGTGACAGCGACGGGCTGCCCTGGCTGTGGGAAATCCACGCGTTTGGGAGTGGAAAGCTTTTTTTTGGTTGGTGGGTGGTCTGCTGGTGTGGTTTCCAACTATATTTGGTCAGTTCCAGATGGCTTTCCCTTGGCTGATACAGCGTGACCGGCTGGGACGGGGAGGGCTGTGACAGCCCCTGGGGACAGGGGACGAGCTGCGAGCTCTCAGGCCTGAAAGAGCAAAGCGGCAATCATCATTTTCTGCTCTCTGTCTTTAAAAATAACTCGCTGCCTTCCGAAGATGTGATGAGAGGAGACGCAGGGCAGGCTTCCACAGGCTGCGGCACACAGCTGGCCAGGCGCTGTTCCTACTCGCTTCTCTCTGGCAAGAGGTGATGCACGGCAGGTGCCAAAACCGTCTGGAATTTCTCCCTGGCGTCGGGAAGCACCGGTACTGCTGGAGGAACCTGTGTCTAGAGGGTCCTCATCCTCTGCAAGGCTCCCAGCGATGCTCTAGGACGAACAGCAGCAGAACCCAGAGCGTGACCTCCTGGCTGTCTTCCCCAAAGCGTGCTTTTAGTAGAGGCGCTGGGGGCTTTTTCCCCAAAAAAACGTGGTATTTTGCAGCCTCTCGTTCTTAAAGGCTTTATTGAGCTTTACTATGAGCAGTAAAAGACCTTGAAGACAACTCCTAATATCAGGCGTAGGGCCTTTTGGGGCCCTTCATCCAGGCTCCGTTGCTCTCTGCCTGGAGGTGCGATGGCAGGAGAGGTAAGCGAGCCCTAGAAGTGGCCTTGAATCTGTTGGGAACTCTCAGTCTGTTACCAGCTGGGTGAAAACGAGACTCTGAAGATCCCTTCCTGAGGCAAAACTGATACCTGAGGACTCCGAGCTCATCCTTTCCTAAAATCCTAACCCCGGGGAGGAGCACCCCTGGGATGGCAGAGAGAAATAAACCTCCCGCTCGCTTCTGTCTTGTAAACTGATGGGGATTTTTTTTAATTCTTTCCCATGTGGAAAGAAAACTGCTTAACTGGGATGCTTGGCATGACGAGCTGCATTTGCAAGGGGGAAGGATAATTTCTGGGGCCTTTTTCAGATAATTTCTGATCCCCGATGGGCTCTGTGTGCTGCTGGGGGCAGGAGGAGGGATTCGCTTTGAAGCCCCGGAGCCCAGCAGATGCATTTTGCTCTGCTCTGACCGCGGTGTTTGGCACGGGGGCACAACCACCACGTCCCTCTTGGAGGAGCTGAGATTTGTGAAGCCTGCAGCCGTGTCCCCACTGCTCCTGCAGCTCTGCAGCGTGCAGGATGTGAGTATCCTGGGCGTGCAGCACGGAAAGCACTGAGGATCTGCAGATAAAGCACTGCTGCACGCCGAAGCGATGCGGAGCAATAAGGAAAAGAGGAGGACTTTTGATCTGATCTTTGGTCCCGGGGAGCCCCGTGCCCAGCTGTAAAGCCAGCGCAGCGCTTTTGATGAGAGCTGGAGATGAGCCCTGCTGCTGGCAGGGGGGGGAGGCCTTGCACCAGCCTCCTGCAGCTGGAGGAAGGAGCTTTGGGTGGGAGGGAGGAAAAATAACAGCACCTTTCCTCCTCAGGTCAGCTTGGCAAGAGGCAGAGCACCAGAGGGGCGCCCCGGGGTGTCAGCTTACGGGGTGCTGTGTCCCGTCTCCAAACCCTGTCCTTCTCTGCTGGGGAGTTTGTGCTGCTGGAGCTTGAAACCAAAAGCCAGAAGTGAATTGCGTCTCCAGCTCTGATTAACCAGGTCCTTAACCCGCCTGTCCTTTGGCCCAGGAGCGCGGTGCCACGGCTTTTGGCAGCCCCAAGGCCTGATAAAACCTCGCGCTTCCCGAAATCCTGCCGTGTGGCACTTCCTTATTGAGCCGTTTGGGCTGGGAATTTCAGGCAGATCCAAAATGCTTTTTCGTTCACAGCTTCGTGTCCTGGTGTGCGTTGAGGCCGTGGAAAGCTCACTCATCTTTCCTGGGCACTGCTTGTAAGGAGGGATATCCCAGAGCAGGGTAAATTTTTACTGATTGCTCTCAGTAGGGTTTTTTTTTAAGCCCTAAAGAGAATTTTTTTCTCTTGCACGCTGTCAGGTGGGTGCCAGAGCTGGTGCGAGGACAGCAGGGCAGAGAGGAGCAGGGCTTTGCCTTTTAGGAGCCGTGAGTGGCTGCGGGGTGAAGCCTTGCTCTGAGGTGGCACTGAAAGAGATGGGAGCAGCCTGGAGCAGCCCTACCTTGATCCCTGCCCTGCCCAGCCCTCTGCACGGATCCCAGCTCTGAGCACTGCTTCGAAACACAAAACCAGCACCAGGCTGAGCTTCTGCCCCTCGGGGGCGGAGAAGGGAGCTTCCAGCAGCGAGCTGGTGCTCTGGTGTGCGCGTGGGGCTGGTAATTGGGACATTTCTGCAGGCTGTGTGACAGCAGCCTGACCATTTCCCAATTTTAAGCACTTCTCCTTGGCAGCACGAGCTGGATCTCTGGTGGGAGTGCTCCGAATCACCTCTGACTGCCTCTTTTCCCTGGCAAAGACCTGCCCGTGTCTGCGGCCAGCTTGATGCAGTAATTCTGACAGCCCCGTTGGCGTGGCTGGGTGCTTGCTGCTGAAGCCAAACACAGATGAAATTCTTGCTGTCAGCTTAATTCCTCTGCTGTCTAACGCAGCGAGCAGCCGGGAGCTTCTGCACGGAAAGAGAAGATTTGGATCTTCTGATCTGGAAAGAGAAGAGCTGGGAATGAAGGCAAAAAAGAGATAGGAAGTGGAAATTTTCTGCAGCCTCTTCCAAATGGGCGCTCCGAGGCTGGCTCGGGCTGTGCTCTGCCCTTGCCCTCGGTGTAAATCTTCCTCTGGCCAAACCTGCCGCTCCGATTCCTCGTTTCAGCAGCACAGAAGCTGTGCTAACGCCGTGCTGCCTCAGCAGGGCTCTCGTTTCGTCCCGTGCACACCTGGGACCTTGCCAGCCGCATCCTCCAGGCATCACAAAACTCCTCCGTGTTGCTCCCGTGTATTTGCTCCACTCCTCTCTGTATTTGCTCCACTTCAGCAAACACACCGTGTGTGTTGGGGTGTCACAGCTGCCCCAGCCTCACTTTCCAGGGTAGTTTTTTGAGCTGAGACTTCAGCTTAGGCGCTCGGAGCTGAGTCCAGAAGCTGCTGTTTGGGCACGCGTGCCTCGAAATACTTCCTGACGGGACTGTGAAAGGCAGAAGTGTCACCCGAGGGAATAGTCTGCACTTCAGAGCATTTCAACACGCTCTCCAAAATGAATTTTTATCATGTAGCAGCGTTAGGAGGCGGGTGCCTCCCGAGCCCTGTTTCTGTTTGGCTGCTATAATTTGAACACATTTTTGCTGTTTTTCCTCAGAAAATGAGGCTTGGTGCCATCGTGCCGCCTCTCCGCTAGGCATGAGCTCCCTTGCTGGTCTGGACCAGACAGGAGCCTTTGGGGTGGGCTCTTCCTCAGAGTTCTGTGGGGTTTGTGCCGATTCCTTGGGTGGTGCTGGTCGTGGAGTGGGTTGCTCAGTGGCTGATACCAATGGGACGGGTGCGTGATGGCCCTGACCGGCTGTAGGGCACACACACAGCTGTGTGTGAGCACCCAAATGCTGCGTCCCGATGTGCTGGCACCAGGCAAGACGTGTCCTGCAGCTTGGCTGAGGTGCTCGGCTCCCCCCTGTGCAGAGCTCATGCTCTGTCCACGTTCCCCAAGTGGGATTTGGCTCACGAAGCGCTCAGTTCCCCCGTTTCTAACTTCCTTTTTTTCCCTCTCCAGACGTCTCGGCGCTGAGCTGGGGAAATCCGTGGTGTATCAGGAAACCAATGGAGGTAAGAGAAGCCCTCGCTGCTCGCAAACCTGTTTTGGGGTGATCTTAGGGCTGCAGACAGTCAGACCTGTCCGGTAGGTGCAGTGATTCAGCCGTGCTGCTGCTCCTGGTGGTGCTGAGCTCCTGTGCCTAACCTTAGACAGAGCAATTAGGTGTGTGCCTCGTTCCCCGGGTTATCTCGTTTGCCTGCCTGGCAGCTCTGTCTCATCTGTGATAGATTCCTACCTCGGGTGTTAGCTGCTACAAAACATCACCTGCTGTTGTGCTTAGGAAGCCATCCTCCGAGTTTGAAGTAATGCCTTTATTTCTAATTGTCTGCCTTGTAAAATTTAAACTACTCCCTTCTCCCAGTCCTCCCCCTGCCACAGGCAGTTCACAGGCACCTGTCTTGCCTTTAAGAGCCCAGATTTGGGGCCGAGCTGGAGCCTGTTTGCATCTCTTTAAACGTCACAGCTGCCCATTTCCAGTTGTCTGTGCTGGGCTGAAACTCGAGGATATTGGCTAACAGAGTTTGGCTCAAAGGAGCAGCGGGACGGCCACGCGGCGATGCGTGAGGCTGTGCCTGGGCTGCCTCGTGCTGCTCAGAGCTCCCTGCCCTCTGGGGTCGGTTTTAAATCGGGCTGCTTGCTTCAGGGGCTGAAGCCATTCCTCATCGCTGCACAACAAATCATCCTCCGTTCAGCAGGGTCCCTTAAGGCTGCTGCAGGTGTCTGGACGGGTAGGTTTGGGTCCTGCAGCTCAGCACATCTCGCTCTCTTTTGTCTTATCCCTGCCCTTGGGTTCAGGACTGTGGGAAAGGAGCAGCCCAGGAGGGCACTTTGGGAAACCTTTGGCTTTGCTCAGCTGCTTTGGGGCTTCTCCTGTTGAGTAAGGGGCTGTAGGAAGCGTTTTCAGTGGAGACTCAGGTTTCCAGCTCATGGCAGCGTTGAGATACCCTGAGCTTCGTCGTGAAGCTGGGGAGCTCTTCCCCTGAGCACTGCTGCAGGGGTGTACTGGGCTAACCTGGTGAGTACTGGAGGATGTTCTGCTTTGGGGTGGCTCTTTGGTAGCTAGGGTATGAGGTACTGACAGCTTTCAGCAGGAGAAAAGGAAAGGATCTCTCCTTGGGAGTTCAGTAACTGCCTTCTAGGTGCGAGGTAACAGCCAGTCAGCCTATTTTGCCTTGTAAATGCAGCTCACTCACCAGAATGCGGTGCCAGCTCCTTGCTTCCCAGGGCTAGCCTCTGGAAAAACCCACAAGTCCTGCTGCCTTCCCCGACCTCTGGGCCCAATTGTCATTAAAACCTGATGCCTTATTTAAAACACGATGTCTTATCGCTGGAAGTCTGACGTTTGGGAATAAAACTGTTTTCATTCCTCCTCAGAAACAAGAGTTGAAATCAAAGAGTCTGTCCGGGGACAGGATATCTTCATTATCCAGACCATCCCCAGGTAAGGGACTTGTGGCTGGGTTTTACACCTGTGACGTGCTTTTAATTTCTGCTGCAGCAGATCGTTCTGGTTAGCTTGCTAGCCGTTAGCCAGCACGACGATGTCTCTTTGCAGGGTTCTCAGTGCTTTGACTTAATCTAGGACACGACATAGCGTTAAGCTGTTAAAATTCCCAGAGGATCGCTCACCACAGCAAACCGAGACGCTTCCCATCCAACAGCACCAGTGGCATTTGAGGCAAGAGCCAGCCCGACAGATGGGGCGAAGCGAAGCACCCCTGTGCTGTGGGGGTGTCCTTGCAGGCTCAGTTGCTCGGTGATGTCTGACTGGCACTTCCATTTCAGGACGTGCAATTTCCTCTCTGTTCCCATTACCGAGCAGCAGAGCCAGCAACAAAAGGGCAACTCTGTGCTTCCATCACAGGCTGGATTACTCTGCCCCTCTCCCTGCAGTGGTGTGAAACTGAGTCTTGTGGAAATCCTTTCCTTCCCTCCCCCACATGTGTAATTCTTAAAGATGTTATGCATTTTCTTAAGTGGGCCGATTTTTTATTTTTATTTTTTTACTTTGGGCTGTTCTAGCCTTGGAGTAAGAGGAAAAATAAGTGCTAAAAGTAACCCTGGTCCCAGAAAACCACTTGTTGACCCAGGAGCCTTGTTCTCCTGGCTGATGCAGGGTGTAGGAAGATGGCATTAGGATGGGACAGCTGATAGTGACCAAGCAGTCCGTGCAAGTTAGTGGGAGGGAGCCTGTGTGCAAATGATGCAAGTGAAACCTGCAGAATGACCACGAGCAGGTAGGGGAGGTGCTGTTCTCAGAGGTGAGGTGTTGATACGCTGCATTTTGCACCATGAGCAGAAGTAAAGGTGTTCCAGTTCTAACAGCTTTCTCCAAGATAGCAAATTCTGCTGGGATTTTGGAGATCACAAGCACCAGTAAGTACCAGAGCTGCAGCAGGTAGCAAAATAACCTGGAAACTGGTATTTTCCTAAGAAATACAGCCCACTGAGAATTCACACTCATTTTCTCTGTGTAATGCTTGGCCTGTTGTTAACAGAATCGGGAGGACTACAGGAGCAGCCTCCTCACTTGTGGAGCTCCTCTTGCAGGCTGAGGCATTTTCCTGGAGCTCCTCTGTCTCCAGAGGGATGCTCTCAGGGTTTCCTCCCCCAGGGAGCAGCTGAATCTCTGCGAGCTGAGAACCCACTGCTGCAGGCTGTGCTCCAGGTGAACGGCACCGTTCTGCTGCCCCTGCTGGGGGAGTTCTCCCAAATAACTTGTAACTGAGAGCTTTGTGAACATGAGACGGGTGAGGAATTCACAGAGAGAACTCGGAGCACTGGGGGCTGACAATGCTCTTGGGAGGGGAAAACCTCCCCTGCCCTCAGCTTGTTTACCCTCCTGTTTTTCTGTAATCGGAACTGATTATTCCGGGTCGAGAATTGGGTCCTTTTAGCAAAAGTGCTGAAGCTCCTTTGGTCGAGGTGCCACTGTTGTACAGACAAGTCATCTTTTATTCTCAAGCTGCAGCTGTGCCTTGCTGCATTGCTCGAGAGGACAGGTTCAAGGACGTCTCCATTTTGCAGAGGGCTTCAGGGAGCTTTTCAAGAATAAAAACAACCATCGTGTCGGATAACCTGAAAGTAGGGCTTCTACACTCATTTCTGGTTCAAAAAGCAAGTGAAATATTAGAACTTACTGGAAAATTAGGGAGAGGAGACAGCCTTGTTACGCTGCAGCGTGGACCCACAGTCTGCATCTTAAATGCATGGAGATGGAACAGGAAGAGCTGAATATTTGATGCAAGCTTCTGGTCCAAAAAATGGAGCAGAACTAAAGAAGTTCCAGTGCCAGGTGTCATCCGGGGCTGCTGGTGTAGGGACTGGCGTGTGGGGGGGGAAAAAACTGAGTATCCTGGAACTGCTGAGGGCTACGGGGAGATCTGCCAGAGGTCTCTGGACAAGTGGCAGGTAAGAGGCACTGCTCTGCCAGAACAAGGAGAGGACAAACAGAGGCAGCAGGTGCGGAGTTCAGAGCAGACAGAAGGGGTGGCACTTCCCATTACCAGGTACTTCACAGCTTCCCAGGACCAGCCTTTTAGCTTCAGGAGCTCCTTGCGTGGGGCTGCTGCCTCTACCAGGGGCTGTGGGATCAAAAAGCTGCGGGACGGATTCCTGGTGGGCATGGGGAGAAGATCAAGGTCTGGTGGGGACATGAGGAGCTGCAAGCTGCTGGCAGCTGTGGAGAGCATCACCACGTCCTCGTGTTCTGCCCCCTGCTCGGCAGGGTTGGGGTCTCTCAGTAGCGGGGCTGAGCACCCCAATTTGTACCTTCCTGCCTGGTTTAAACAGGCAGCGTGCTGTGAATGTAGGTGCTGGGCAGTGAGGCACTGGGCAGCACGGGGACTGCGGGCACCTTTCGAGGTTTCTGGCAACCTCCCCTCGCAGCAGCAGTCGTGTTCTCTGTTTTGTTACTCTTTTTTTAAAGTAATTTGAGCAGTGATGATGGAAAATATTGAATTTCGTGGGTGACCTTCAATTAGACTTCATCGAGGCTGCTTTGTTTCACACAATACTGATAGCAGCATCCTTTTCTCCTCTCCCAGCCGCGCTGGCACGGCTGGAACAGCAAAGGGAAGAAGTGGTTCTTTGTTAGCTCGCTGCCCTACGTGGCAGGGGGTTATGTTTTATGTAATTCTTGGCTGGCTGCTGCGGAGCTGACAAAGCTTTCTTGTGTACGAGCAGCATTGTGCGGGGGGCTCGGCGCAGCCAGCAGGAGAATAAAGAGACGCAGAGCGGTCGCAAATGAGGGCCACAAATAAAAGTTGGGTCCCAAAGGAAAAGGGAGAGCCACGGAGAAGTGGTTAGAGGAATGTGGTGTCACACACGGATGGGAAATGTGTCTCTGAGCGCTTGGGGATGGCAGGCCAGGTGGGCTGGAGGGTAATCCTAAAATATAAGCTCCCAAAAAGCTCTGCAGGGCTTTGAGATGCTCTGCGTGGGAGGGTGGCCCCGGGCAGCCCCTGCTCGGTCACTCTGTGGCTCTGCAGCAGGGCCACCTTCAGCGTGGCCCCCCCAGGGAAGCGGTATGTGGGGTGGCTGCTGGAAAAAAACAGGAGCATCTTTATTCAGGGCAGGGACCGCAAGTCCTGATTGCTCCCACGTGCACATTGCTCACCTCCAAAGTGGTCTCAAGTTGCTTTGTGATGGTGCAGGCACTGATTGGGATTTTCCCTTTCCAAAATGAGTCCAGATGCAGATTAACACACTCCTGGGGTGCTCCAGGCGTCATGGTGCAGCTCATCGCAGATGTTTTTCTGTGCATCCCTGTCTGTGTGTGTGCTCTGCCAACATCCCAACATCCCTTCTTTGTTTTACCTTCCAAGTAAACGTTGTTTGGGGTTTCTGCTGCTGTTCCTTCCATCTCTAGGTAAGTCAGATAGCAAGGAGATGCTGACCTCTGCCAGAACGATGCGTTGGGGCTCGGTGCAGCTTCAGAGTACAGTATTGAAGGCAGGGAAAGTAACTTGATTATGTTGCTTAAAAAAAAAAAAAGCTCAGTAAATCTGGCATGGATGAAATTGTGGTGGCTGCACGCATGCTGCTGCTTCTTCTAAAGCCTGTTTTATTTTAGAATATACTGTGTGAAGTGACATTTGTTCAATCATTAGAGCGGGAGAATGCCCTCTTTGCTGTGTTGATGGAGGGAGTCGTCGTACACCTCGTGTCAGACCGCAGAATCCAATCCTGCCCAGTGAGTCAGTGCCCAGCAGTGCTGCAGTCGCTGCCCCTGCATTTAGCAGTTGCTGCTGATGTGCTGTGGCACGAGGGAAGGAGCTGCAGGATCACAGTGCAGGTCTTGCACACATTAGCATAAGGCACAACGCTATTTACCTGGAAATTCGATGAGGGAAGTGTGGGTATGGTACGGGAAGGGCTCGCACTGGAAAAACACCTGATGTGTGGAACATCTTCTTCCAGAGATGTGAACACTGCCGTCATGGAGCTGCTGATAATGGCTTATGCACTGAAGACCTCCTGTGCCAGGAACATCATCGGGGTCATCCCTTACTTCCCCTACAGCAAACAGAGCAAGATGAGGAAGAGGGGCTCCATAGTCTGCAAGCTGCTGGCTTCCATGCTGGCCAAGGCAGGTGAGCGTGGCAGGGAGCAGCCCGGCCGCCTCGGGCGCTGCCTTGCAGCTGCTGGCAGCCTGCAGGGCTCCTGCCCTTCCCTTCTCCTCCTGTCAGATGCGCAGGCGTGCTGCCAAAACCCTGAGCTGCTTTGGGGGAGTTTATTTTTATTTCTTTAGCTCATGCCTGGGGAAGTGGCCTAGAAGTGTCGCGTTGAAATAGTCACGGTTGCTGGTCGGGCAGCGTCTTACCGCATGCCTGTTCCTTCCCATGTCTCTGAAACTTTTTTTTTACCTGCTTATGCTCATTTTAACATGTGGTGTACTCGTCTGTCTGAGAACTGAAACAGTCTGGAAAATGGAGATGGTTCAGGAACTCCAGCTTTGTGGGACTCGTCTCAATGAATCACTTTTTTTTTTTTCTCCTTTCTTAGGGTTAACGCACATTATCACCATGGACCTTCATCAGAAGGAGATCCAAGGCTTCTTCAGCTTCCCCGTAGACAACCTGCGGGCATCCCCTTTCTTGATTCAGTACATACAGGAAGAAGTGAGGTTACTCTACTTCTGTGTATATCAACTTGGCTTAACGCAGTGGCGGTGTAGGGCTGCTAGATCAGATGCTCTGCTCATGAATCTCTTTTTCTCAGGGAAACTTTTGCATGTTCCACAAGGAAGTGGGAAAACGCTACATTAAATTAGATGGCGTGAGATTGCACCTGGATAGAAATTGAGTTTTTGACCATAAGCTGGAGATGAGCTTGAGCCCTCGGTTGAAATTCATTGCTCTCTGTAGAGCTAGAGCCATCTGAGAGGTGCTCTTTATGCTCCTGCCTCTAATCACCTTTTAAATCCTGTTCGTGTCTGCACTCACCCTTTGTTCTGCGGTGGATGTCTGACTGATCTGAATTATTGATAGACTTTGTCTTGGGCTCTGCTTAGGAATGCTGAGCACACAGAGGGCCTGGGGACGGGCGTTTTGTCTCCCAAATGCAGGAATTGATTTATGCCTGCGTGGTGAGAGCAGGGCTGCTGCACGTGGGGAGCCCAGGGCCTGGGTTCGGACCTGCAGCCAGCCCGTGTGGGGTGGGTTAAACACAGTGAGCTCTTCCTTTTGATCATTTTGAGTGTAAAGCCTGCTCTGCGCGGGCACTGGGGGCTCTGTGTTGTAGAGCCAGGGCTGACCCCTTTGGCCCCAGGGTCTAAACAGCCCCCTTTCTTTCCCTGCACTGTGCCCCGTCTCTCAGACCTGGCTGCAGGTAGCACTGCAGGTGAGCTCATGGCTTGTGGATGCCAGTAGCAAACTGCAGTCCTGTGCAAAGTGGGACCTGTGAACAGATGGCATCCCCTGCACTATTGGGGCAGAATATGCAAATACAGGTGTTGAAAAGGGGTGCAGTGGCCTTGCAGTGCTTGTACCCCAGGAGGAAGATTTGGGCTGGGGAAAGCGAGTGGGTGCAGGTCTACAGCCATGAATCAAACCAGAAATGCTCTCTCAAGAAGGCCTTTACTTAAACAGTTTTTTATCACATCCAGATTCCGGATTACAGAAACGCAGTTATTGTAGCCAAATCTCCTGATGCAGCTAAAAGGTAAATAGATTTTTTTATTATCTGGTTTAAAAATAACTTGGAAAAGGTCTGGGCTGCTGGGGAATACACTGGGGAAAAGTAAGGGAGGGTTTGCAAATGGATCAGCAATCTGTTTCATAAGGCATTTGTGGCTGGAAATCAGATGGGCATCTGTAGTGGCGCAGATGGGCAGCTGAATTTTGCAGTCCCAGCCCCACGGGAGTAAATTTTGGAGTTTGCTGCTGCAAACCTAGGTGGTTCACCTGGGGTCAGGCTCCCTGCATGATGAGTTTCAGCAGGGCCTGACTGTGTCAGGGAACATTCGGCGTGCAGAGGAACACCAGGAGATCTCTGTGGTGGGGCCAGGGGGCAGAGTGGGCTTTGGGGTGTTGGGAATCCAAAGTCCTTTTCAGGGAAGCTCTTCCCTGGGGAAATCCTGTACAGCCTTTTTTGTTGGATCTGACGTGCTGTGGTTGTCCTGCAGGGCTCAGTCTTATGCTGAGAGACTACGGCTGGGACTAGCAGTGATCCACGGAGAGGCTCAGTGCACAGAGCAGGACATGGACGACGGCCGTCACTCCCCTCCGATGGTCAAAAATGCAACCGTGCACCCTGGCCTGGAGCTGCCTTGTAAGATTAAGCTTCTCTGCTCATCTCTGAGCAAAAAAGACGAGTGGGAAATGGCTCCCGGTGGGGCTCTGTAGGTATAACCAGCCCTAGGGCAGTTGAATTTTCCTCGTGGAAAGGTTGATGTAGGAGAAGGTGTGGGGAGGTCCTTGTTTAACTCTTTCTGGCCATGCAGAGCACCAGTTTTGCTCCCCTTGGCTTCGCCCACTCAGCAGTGTCAGGCAAACCTGTGCTAGAGGTGGGGTTTTACAGTGCAGAACTCACTGAAACCAGAAAAAGCAATGCAAAAGTGGAACTAGCAGGGGAACGGCCCCTGAGACAGCCTGCTGCGCACAGCCTGAGGATTGCTGGTGTTCTTACAACAGCACCAACTGAACAAACAGCCGAAATCCAGCTCTTAATTTGGGAGGATTTCACCTTTCTAGGTAGGTGGTGGTCGGACAGAAGCGATGGGTGGCTGAGAGCAGTGTGGGAATGGCAGCGTGCTGCTGCCTGGGACAGAGCCGCCCATTGCGCAGCCACCTGTAATTACCCGGGCTGTGGCCGGGGCTGCTGATAAGCTGCTCCCCTTGTGAAGTTTAAGGAGAGCATCCAACCAGTTTGTGGCCAAATCAGGGAGGGGGAAGGCAAGTAAGACCGCAGGCATTTTGTGTTAACCCAGGCATCGCTCGGTAATGAAATCAGCTCAACCAGGCTTGTGATGCTGGTGAAACTCCACCCCAAGGCCCAGGAGGGGTTTCGCAGTGATGTTTGGAGCTTCATCACGGTTGTCTCCTGCCTGACAGGGGATTTCTTCATGCACTTGCAACAAAACAGGGATGTGCACGCTTACTCTTGGCCTTTTGCTTCCTGATGTGCCCCACAGAGGATTCAGTCCTCCAGGATGTCACATCTGGCTGCTGTCAGGGCCTCGATGGAACTGCAGCTTTATTCCCAGTCGTGTCACTTGAAGGAATCTCAGCTGTGGGAGCTTGTGCTGCTGGGCAGCCCCATAAACGGTGGCTCATACAGAAATTTGCCCTTGTCCCGTTTCGTTAGGGTTTCGGTGGAAAAAATGTTTTCAGTCCTCAGCTGCCCAAACGTGAACTGGTTTGCTGTGTGCCACCACTTTATTTATCTCCTGCAGAAACTCAGCCCTTGGCTGATGACCTTGCATTCCTGCATGCCTATGGCACGCATGGAAAACAAGCAAGCTGCAGCTCGGGAGCTGTCTGTCGGGGGAGTTGTGGGGTGGATTATGGTGTGGCTTGTCCAAAACTCTCAGCAGAAAGCTGCTTTTTTTTTTTCTCTCCAGTTTTATGATCTTAGTAAATACTAAGTAAACTTGTAATGCTTAGTAAACTTAAACTACTTAGGAAATACTGCGTGGTTTTGAGTGAGTGCCGGGCTCTGCTTGTGGAGCTGCAGGACACTGGGGTAATAATACCTGGCTGCAAGCAGCCTGTAAGCTTCTGGAGAATCCTGCCTGTGCTGCATTCCCTGCCAGGGATCTGCTCTCTGTCCAGCAGAGGTGAAAATGCAGCAGGGCTGAGGATGGCGATGCTGTGAGGCTGTGCTTACCCCCTTGGTTCCGCCTCCCTTCCTATCTGATTGAGTCATTTGGAAGGGGTTTTCCCACCTCGAGTGGCGCATCAAACAAAGCTTTTGATCAGCTCTCCCTGCACTGTGTACCAGCACCTCCACTCCCAGCACCATAAAGCTTGGTGACGGGGTAAAACAGGGCTCGGCTCTGTGCTCGTCTTGTGTTTGTGGAAGGTAGGGCACGCTCCGAACCCACAGCTACCTGCTTCCTTACCCCAAAACTGGCCAGAAAAAAAAAAAAGAAGCTGGTTGCTAAAACAATCAGCCTCCAGGGCTGTCTGGCTCAGGTTTCATGAACACAGGTAGGAAGTGGGAGCCCTCCTGGGGGAAGCAACGGAGACTAACAGCAGAGCATCCTGCTCTGGGCTGCAAGCAGATCGATGTGGGGCATCCTTCCTCTCAAGACTCCACAGTTTGGGGCCCCAAGGGCATGGCTGCAGCCAGCAGGGAGGCAAAACCTGGAGCTGGGAGCCCTACAGCAATTATGTAATGCTTTTTGTGATTCTTTGCGGGGTTTTGATTGAATTGGGCAGGCTCCTGCATCCTGGCGTGTCCCTTTCCTCCCTGTTCAGGTAGGGATCACGTGCCCTTAATTAAGGAGTGCTGTGCAGCATAATGGCTTATTTATGGTCCAGAGGCTGTGCGTTGATGCCATGCTGTGATGGGGTGGTGTGTGGAGCTGTAACAGCAACGTGCCAGAGGTGCCTCCAGCTGCACTTCCCAAAGCGCTGTGCTAAAATGGCAGCAGCAGCTCGTGTCACCCCAAAATCAGGAATTCGGAGCCTTGGAGACCTTCTCTTTGTGTGCCCTTTGTCTCGAAGCTCGGGGCCGTGCTTTACCAAGTGCCCGTGGATACTTTGCGTGTTGCCCCTCCTGGAGAAAAGCGGTGGGGCGCTTCCAGTGGCTCTGAAATCCCCTACTTGGTGCTGGAGGCGACGGGCTGCTTCAAACCCAGAGCCCAGCAAGCTGCCACAAAGGAGGAGAAGCTGGGTGGAAAAACTGGAGCGACCTTGGGTCTGTTCCTGCTTCCCTGCCCCCTTATCTCTGCTGTGTTGGGGCAGGGGCAGGGCGCTGTTATCAGCTTCCAGATCTCTGGGCAGCATTTCTCCAGCAGCCTTTTGTCCCTCGGCCCTGTTGTAAAGGCAGCATTATCTTACGGGGTGGTTATCGCTGTAACGCAGCGGTGTGGGAACTGTCAGCCCCAATTTTGGCATTCCTTAACCCGGTTTTGACCGCTTCATTGCAGCAGCAGGTGTGAGCACCCGGGAATGCTGCCTGCTCACGGTGATCAGCTCACCTGCAATGCGTGGAGCCTGGGTGTGTGTTGCAGCAGGAGCAAGGTGCAGGTCAGAGCGTTTGGCTGATTTCCCCACCACCCCCGTGTTCTTTGATATTCCTGCTTTATAAAAGTAGTCATTTTTTATATTCAAAAGGCTGCAGATACAACCAGCATCTTTTTATGACTTTCCATGAAAAAGAAAAAAAATCAGCAGCACTTTTTGACCTAAACTTGTGATAATCAAAGGGGCTACATCTGGCAAAGGTACACCTGTGGCTTATTTCTGTTGCCTTCTTCTCTTTCTACATACAGATAGAGGTTTTGTGTCTGGGAGGAGGACGTTCTTTATTATTTTAAATCATTTTTCGAGCCACCTTCTCGCAGCGGTTCTGACGTGCATGTAGAGATACCCCCACAGATTTGGAAGGAAAGGAAAGTGGCTGCAGTAACCCCTGCGTGCACCCTGCTCGTGCTGCAGCGACCGAAGCTCTCTTGCGATTTGATGTGGTTGTGGGTGGATCTCTGGCTTGCAATTTTTTTCTTTTCTTTGCAGAGAAAATTGAACAAGGAAAAGGGAGAACATCTCTGTAGGATCCGGGTAGGTCGACACGTTGCCTACCCTACTTTAACAGTAAAGCAAACCTGAAACACAGCGTTCAAAAGCAGACAAAAGCTGTAAAAAGCACGGCTAATGCTAGCCTCTGAGCCTAACGAGGAGTGTGTTTGCTTCCTTTATGGAAGGGGAAGATTCAGATTTGCTGAAACTTCACGTTTTTCAGTAAAATGGTGCTGGGTTTCAGCTCCCTGGGATCTGTTCACCATTGCTTAGGGTTTTCCCTCACCTGGCTGTTGTAAACAGAAGTGGTGCTCGTCTGTGGATGCACAGGGAGAGCAGCCAGATGTAATATTTCGATATTTCGTAGCTCCCACCAGGAGCTGCGTTACTGTCCCGACTAGATTAATAAACTAATAACTAACCTGAGCAGGTAGGCAGTGCCTGTAATTGACATTTATGGTCTGCTTATCTCTCCTGAAGCTTAATCCTGCTTTATTGCAAGCGCTCTTCCTTCTCATAAGGCTGCTTTCCCTGCAGGATTTAGACAGGACTTTGCATTTGATAAGAGCCCCAGCAACAGCAGTGCAAGGGAGGCTGAGGAACGCGTGCTCCAAAGAGCAATTAACTCCGAGTCCAAGATAGCTGTGATGTTGTTTTTTTTTAACCACAAAGCCTAGCAACGAGTGACATCCTTTTGGACAAAGCAGAACGTATTGGTCACCGTTTTGTACAGTTCTGGTGAGCTCAGGGTACGTTTTGTGTAGGAGGAACAGCACTGCACATGAATCTTTGGAGCTGTGGTCCTGCTAATTGCTTCCATCACATCCCTCAGCCTGACTCACGCAGCCGTGCTTGGGCCCTGAGCATTCCCAGGCTCAGGGAATAGCACTGGCTCAGCCTGCTGTGCAGGACGGGGAGTTTCAGGTAGGACTCCTGACGCGGGAGGGCTGAAATCAGTGCTCAGGCAGGCTTCTGGACGGGCAGCACCTTGTGTTTTTTCATGTTGCTCGAGCGTAAAGCATGACGTGGAAGCAGGTTGGCTTACAGGAGGAATATCTTCCTCTCTAGGTGTCTAAAAGTCCTCTGGACCTGAGAAGCTGTTGTGGGCAGGCTGAGCTACAAAGAGGAGGGATACCAAGTGCCTCGGGAGGACGCTTTGCACTCCCTGTGGATAGCACAAAGGCAGGGGGTGCAGGTGTGCTGGCTCAGCCTTACCAAATGTTGGTGTTCTCTTTGCTTCAGTGGTTAGATCAGCCCCGATTATCACGTAACGAAACTCCCGGAGCCACCTACCACCTCCACGTGCTTCTCTGCTGGGGCTTTCTGCCTGGTGTTCGCTGGTGCTTTGTAGGGTGCTTGTGCACGAGCCCTGTCAGTGCGCAGGCAGAGCCAGGGCGGAGTGGATCCTCGTTTCTTGGCACATCTTTCCCACGTGCCAGATGGCACAGATCATCCGTGTATACTTCTGGATGCACTGTGGTTGTAGAACTGAGTCTGGGCTGGATTTTGTCCTGCTCTGTCCATTAACGTGCTTTAAAACATTCAGCAAAACGTTGGAAGTTCTCCGTGCCCATGCAGGTGCTGTTAAGGCGCTCGTGTCCGCTGAAAGATCCTTGCAGGTTTGGTGAGCCAAGAGTAAGCGAGCTGCAGCCTGAGCGAAATCCTTCAGCCAAATCAGCGAGCCCAGCCAGTGAAACACTGCACATTGTGCACTGCCCCTTTGGGAGGGGTTATCGGGGAATCCCGGTGGTTGTTCCCAGTGCTGACAGCCCCCTTTCCTCCAGTCCTGTTTTGGAGCACAGAGGCCAGAAGTCGCGGAGGTTCCCTACAAACGAGGTAGAGCTTTGTAGCGCTCCCTGCACGAGGATCTGTTAGACTTTTGGATCCACGTGTCTCGGAGATCAGTGCTGGGTCCCTGCAGAAACCGAGAGTTTCGTCTTGAGGCAGCAGTGCTGCTCGGTGAGGAGGAGGAGGAGGAGGAGGATGGTCACAGCAGCACTTACCCGCTGGGGTGGGTTATCAGGGGAAGGCACAGGTCCGGGTCTGCACCAGCTCGGTGACAGAGCGGCCTCGTGCAGGGTGGGACGGTTGCGGTTTGACTCAGAGCTGACTGAGCTGGGCTTGTTTCTTCCCCAGTGATGATGGCCAAGGAGAAGCCGCCGATAACCGTGGTGGGAGATGTTGGAGGAAGAATCGCCATCATCGTGGTACGAGGGTGGTGGAGGGGAGCGGGCGGCGGGGGGTGGCCTCCTTCAGTTTTAGTGATAAATTCTGATTATTTCAGCTTTCTGCTGGAAACGCTTCGTACTTCAGCCTTGTAAAACCTGCAAACTTTGCCCCCTTGAATCTACAAACATGAGATATCCACGAATAGTCAATGAATCTAGGATACGTGAAGAATTCTCCTAAAATACTTAAAACAAGCAAAACCTTGCTGAGCTCCCCATGGGTTTCTTTTCAGGATGACATCATCGATGACGTGGAGAGCTTTGTGGCCGCCGCCGAGATTCTGAAAGAGCGCGGAGCCTACAAGATCTTCGTGATGGCCACGCACGGGCTGCTGTCTGCGGACGCCCCCCGCCTCATAGAGGAGTCCTCCATCGACGAGGTGAGCCTGTTTTTTGGGGCTGCCGAGGAAGGGCTGGCTCTGGTGGTGAATTTAAGGCACTAAAAACCAGAATCTGGTCCTGGGGGAGTGCCTGGTTTCATCAGATGCTTTCGGTTCTGGTTGTTCACCGACGAGTCGCTGTGATTAATACTTGCTGGGGTCAGGTTTGCTTCTCTGCGTGTCGTCTCCCCCGCACGCTGATATTACTCACCCCTGCCTGGACACTTCCCTTACCACAGCACGTGGCCGTTCTCTCATTCTGCCTCTTGCCCCAGCTGCTGGGCACATCACAAGGATGAGATCTCAGACCTCATCCTCGGGATCCGATGTGTCAGATCCTGTGGTCTGAACGGGCCTCGTGGCCTCCGTGGTAGCGGCTGTCGTAATTGCTGGTGACAGCTTCCCCTGCACTGAGTGCCACGTGGAGAAGCCCGTCTCATCTTTTTCTCTAACATACGGGGATTTCTCAGCCTTGCCCTGACCCGTGGAGCCGATTTGGGGTAGCTGTGGGATGCGAATTAATGGTGTCGCTGATACATTCCTGGTCTTTTCCTCCTGGCGCCCCGCAGGTGGTAGTAACCAACACGGTTCCTCACGAGGTACAGAAGCTGCAGTGCCCCAAGATAAAGACTGTGGACATCAGCCTGATCCTCTCCGAAGCCATCCGGCGAATCCACAACGGGGAGTCCATGGCCTATCTCTTCCGCAACATCACCGTCGATGACTAGAGCTGGTGCTGCCCCTGTCCTGGCTTCCACGAGAGAGGGAAATGTGCATGAGCAGGCAACGCCATAAGTTATAGACGTAACTCAGCTGTTTATTCTTGTAGGGAGGGTGAAGGTTCTCAGGGTGGTGAGCCGTGAGATCCCATAGGAACAAATCCACCTGACCAGCACTTTACAGGTGAACGGGAGGGGCCGCTGGCCGTGGGGGGGGGTCTACATCCCGCAGAGAGAGACGGAGAAGTGAGGAGGGTTTGAACTTTGAAATTCCTTTATTTTTTTAGCGTTATCTCTTGCTCTGCAGGGGAGGGGGGGAGTGAGAAAAGCCTTGCTGCCAGCTCACGGGAAGGGAACAGGGGACGCTCATCGCCGCACGCGGACAGTGGCAGAGGAAGCGGCCTTGGGGTTTCTGTTCCTGGCTGTGGTTCGCCCGGGACAGCGCCGAAAGGAGCCTCACTCGGCTCCGTGCCAGCCTCTGCTCCTCTCCCCCAGCCTGGCACGTCCTGCTGGCAGAGCCCGGAGCCACGAAGGGCAGCTGGGGGCAAGCTCAAAACCCCTCGTGACTGGGAGCGAGCTCTCCCCTACCTCCCGGCAGGGCAAGAGGTGCTCGTTAACGTGCTGGCCTTTTCGTTTCGAGAGCCTTGGATCGTTACCGTGCCTCGGGGGGGGGGGAAGGCACACGAGGCTCTGGGTCCTCGCTTGAACACTCGTCTGCACTGCACGGCCGGGCACGGCTGCTGGAGGGGCCTGGGGCTGCTGGGCTGGGGCAGAACCTGGTGGGGAAGGGGGGGGGGATGGGACGATGCCTCTGCTGCAGCTGGGCTCTCCGGAACACTAACACTGAATCTGCAATAAAGAGCATAGGATTTATGGTGGCTGCTGCTCTGTGAGTCCTTCTGCCCAGGTTTTTGCTGGAAGCAGGCTCAGGGGGCAGCCTGCAGCCTCCTCCCTGGAAGTGACCCTGTGCCTTGTAGGATCCCGACCTGCCTCGGGGCTTTAATCAGTAAGGGAAAAGAAGTTTGTGTTCCTGTAGCTGCGTGGCCGGGGCTGGGGTGCCTCGGGGACCCCGCAGAGCTTTGGGATCGTTTTGGGATCGCTCAGCAGTGGGCAGCACCCCACGGCCGGCTGCCTGCCCCCTGCCTGGGTCTGTCTCAGGGGCAGAGCCCATCCCTGGGGCCCTGCAGGCTGCGTCCCCAAGCAGCTAATTGGTGTCACCCCTTTCCTTGTGGGTTTTGGGGGCTGCTTTGGGGTGCTTTGGGGGGTATTTGAGGTGGTTTGGGGCTAGTTTGGGGTGGTTTTGGGGGTATTTGGGGTGGTTTAGGGTGTTTTGGGGATGTTTGGGGTGGTTTTGGGGCTAATTTGGGTGGTTTAGGGTGGTTTTGGGGGTATTTGGGGTGCTGGGGGGGTATTTGAGGTGGTTTGGGGGGTATTTGGGGTGGTTTTGGGTGCTTTTGGGGGTATTTGGGATGGTTTGGGGGGTATTTGGGGTGGTTTTGGGGGTGTATTTGGGGTGCTTTTGGGGTATTTGGGGTCCAGGCACAGGGAATCAGGGCCCTGCAGCACGGACCCAGCCCTACAAAGCCTTTAGGAGCACCCCCCTCCCCCAAAACCATGCCCTTGGGGGGGGGGGGGGCAAGGGGCGAGTGGGGCAGGGGGCGTGGCCAAGCGGCGAGGGGCGTGGCCATACAGCGAGGGGGCGTGGTCATAGCGCCAGGGGGCGTGGCCATGCCGGGGGAGGCGTTGCCTAGCAACGGGGCACGCCGCGCCGCGCCCCTGGTAAACACAGGCGCACGCGGACAGCCGGGGCGGCCAATGGGAGGCGGGGAGCGGCGGGCGGCGGCCAATGAGAGGCGGGGAGCGGCGGGCGGCAGCCAATGAGAGGAGAGAGGGGGCGGGCCCAAGGGAGGCGGGCGGAGAGAGGCGGCAGCCGGCGGTGCGGGGGGGACGGGGTGGGGGGGGAAGGGGATTTGGGGGGAAATGGGGGGATTTGGGGGGTTATGGGGGTATGGGGGGGTTATGGGGATTTTGGGGGGGCATGAGGATTTGGGGGGGTTAGGATTTTAGGGGGTATGGGGGGGCTACAGGGATTGGGGGGGTTATGGGGACTTGGGGGACATGGGGGATTTGGGGGGGTTATGGGGATTTTGGGGAGTATGGGGGTATGGGGGGCTATGGGGATTTGGGGGGGCTATAGGGATTGGGGGGGTTATGGGAATATGGGGGGGGTTATGGGGATTTGGGGGACATGGGGGGATTTGGGGGGGTTATGGGGATTTTGGGGTTTATGGGGATTGGGGGGGTTATGGGGATTTGGGGGGTAATGGGGATTTTAGGGAGTATGGGGATATGGGGGGGAATGGGGATTTTGGGGGGTAATGGGAACATGGGGGGGTTATGGGGATTTGGGGGTTATGGGGATTTTGGGGCATGGGGGGATTTTGGGGGGGCATGAGGATTTGGGGGGGTTATGGGGATTTTAGGGAGTATGGGGGCATGGTGGGTTATAGGGATTTAGGGGTGTTATGGGGATTTGGGGGACATGGGGAGATTTGGGGGGGAATGGGGATTTTGGGGCATGGGAGGATTTGGGGATTTATGGGGATTTGGGGCATAATGGGGATTTTAGGGAGTATGGGGATATGGGGGGGAATGGGGATTTTGGGGGGTAATGGGGATTTTGGAGCATGGGGGGATTTGGGGGGGGAAATGGGGTTTTGGGGGGTTATGGGGATTTGGGGGGCTGGAGGGGGTGTGGGGATTTAGGGGGTGGGGTATGGGATGGGGAGGGTACGGGGGTAAGGGGATTTGGGGGGGGGCTACCAGAATTTGGCGGGGTATGGGGCTTGTGGGGGTATCGGGAATTTGGGGGGGGGGAGTTTTGGGGTCCATGGGGATTTTGGGGGTGGGGTATGGGGGTGTGGGGGGGCACGGGGATTTGGGGTGGAGTAAAGGGATTGGGGATATAGGAAACAGGGAAGGGGGATAGGGGGGTGGGTTAGGGTTAGGGTTTCCCATGGAACGGGTGATGATGATGATGATGATGAGGCTGAAGGCTGCAGCCCCCCCCTCCCCATTTCCCCCCCAGGCCATGGCGGCGCTGCCCCCCCCCAGCCTGGCCGAGCTGCTGGACGCGGCCATCGGCACCCCCGAGCCGGGGGCCGTCAACTTCACGGCCCTACACAGCCTCCTGCGCGCCCTGCTGCAGCACCTGGGGCTGCTGCACCTCCCCGCGCCCACCCCACAACCCGCACCCACCCCACAACCCACCCCACAACCCGCCCCCCCCGGCGGGCAGCCCCCCCAGCCCACCCCGGGACCCCCGGGGGGCTCCGCAGCCCCCGCTGTGGGGCCGGAGAGGAGCGAAGCGAGGGATGGGGACAGCACCCAGGTGAGGTTTTGGGGTTTTTTTTGGGTTCCTCTTGGTGTTCTCCCCCCCACCCCACAAGCACGCAGCCCCTTCCTCAGGGGCTGTGCGGCCCTCATGGGGTCCCCCCCTCCCCGATCCCTTCCAGACCCCGTCTGTGCCCCGGGACCTCCTGGAGGCCATCAGTGGGGTGAAGGCGGCGCAGTCCCGGATGGAAAAGGACATCTGTGGGATCAAGGAGCTGCTGGGCCTGGTGAGCTGCCCCCGGGATGGGGATGGGGCCCCCAGCCCTGCATCCCCCATCCCCACCCCACTGCTCATGGGGACGGGGACCCACAAGGGGACGGGCCCCTCGTGTCCCAGCCGGTGCCGCCCTGTGCACCATGGATGGGAGCAAGGAAGGGGGGAAGAAAATATTATTTTGGGGGTGCACCCCAAAACCCTGACCCCAAAACCCTGACCCCAAAACCCTGACCCCCCCCCTTTTCCCTCCCTGCAGGCGGGCGAGCAGCAGCGGGGACCCCGCAGCGGGGCGACCCCGGAGAGCGATGGGGTAGGTGCCGGACCCCGGGGATGGAACCGGGTGTGCTGCACCGGGTGAGCCCGATGGTTCCCCCAGTTCCCGTTGTGCGACCCCATAAATTTGTTCCCCAAAATTTCTTCTCCCCAGGAGGCTGCCGGGAGCCAGGCTGCAACCTCCGAGTCCTCCTCCGAGTCCCCCGAATCGGGCGAGGAGGGCACCGAGCGCGGGGGGACCCCCGGGGGGACGCAGCCAGCGCCCGGCACCGGCGAGGGGACATTGGGGACACGGCCCCGCACCATGGGGACGCGAGCGGGGACGCGGAGAGCATCGGTGGTCTCCTGGAGCCAGGCAGGAGCTGCCCCCGACCCCATGGGGACGGCTGCTGCCGGTGCCACCGCCCCGGGGACGCAGCCGGGGGGCCCTGGCACCCAGACCCCCACCCTGGGAGCTCAGCCAGGGTCCCCCGGCACCCAAATTTCCACCCTGGGGGCACAGCCGGGGGGTCCTGGCACCCAAATCACCCCCCAGGGGGCACAGCCAGGGTCCCCCGGCACCCCCGGCACCGGCCTGGAGTCCCCTGGCACCCATGGGACCACCCGAGGGACACAGTGGGAGTCCCCTGGAGCCCATGAGACCCCCCCAGGGATGCAGCCAGGGACCCCCGGCACCCACGGGACCCCCCCAGGGACGCAGCTGGGGTCCCCCCGCACCCTGCCCACCGGCACGGGGACACAGCCAGCAGCTCCCTGGCCCCAAGGAGAAGGAAGAGGAGAAAGAGGAGGAGGAGGAGGAGGAGGAGGGGGGGTCCAGCCGAGCCCCCCCAGCACAGCCCCCGGCCTCCCTGGCGCTGAACCCACCCCGGGTGCTTGGGGGACAGGGGTGGGCGCCGAGCCCCCCCCGGCTGCCCAGCCCCTGTCACCCACCGCTTGGGGACCCCAAATGCCCCCCGATGCCAGCCCCACGGGTCCCGTGCCGGGGCTGGCCGAGGCCCTGCAGCAGGTTGCCCAGCTCGGCCACCTCTGTGCCACCCTGCAGGGCCAGGTGGCCCAGCTGGAGGCCACCAAGTCGGACCGCGCCGAGCTCCAGGAGCTGCGTCTGCTCCTCCCGGAGGGAGGTGAGAGCCTGGAGGGGGGGGCACGGGCTCTAAAAGTGGTCGGGGGGCACCCTGGGGGGCTGCGGGGTTGGGAGCCTGAAGGCTCGGGGCGTGCTGGGAGCACTGGGGTGAACTGGGGAGGCGGTGGGGGAGAGGGCGGTGGGGGAGGACCTGGGGGCTGGGGGTGTCAGCGTGCCCGGAGCCCCTGATGGGGGCTGTCCCCCCCCCTGTGTCCCCACAGACCAGGAGAGCATCGCCACGCTGCTGGCCGACCTCCGGGGCCGCGTGGGCTCCCTGCAGGGCCAGGGGGAGAAGGTGAGGGGGCGGCGGTGACCCGGAGGTGATCCGGGCACGGAGGGGACCCCAAAGGTCCCCCCCCCGCGTGGGGGCCGTGCCCTGATCTGCCACCCCCATCCCAGATCAAGCAGCTTCAGGAGGCCCTCAGAGAGCTGGGGTCGGCTGGAGGAGCGGAGAAACCTGGTGACAGCTCGGGGTAAGGGGCGAGCAGCTCGGTTTGGGGGCGAGGGGGCCCCCTGTTAGCGGCCAAGCCCCCCCGCACCCCGTCCCGCCGCCCAGGTCCCTGCTGCAGGAGCTGAGGAGGGAGCTGAGGGAGCTGCGGGAGCAGCAGGACGCGGCCAAAACCACGCTGGAGCAGCTGGTGGCCACCACGGCCGGGCACCTACAGGAGCAGGTGGAGAGCCAGGGGGGGGACCTCTCGGTGCCACGTCCCCCCTGGTGCCCCCTGCCCCCTGGGACCTCCCGGGGGGGCTTCGGGGCCACCAGCAGCCCAGCTGGGAGCTGGTTCCCTCTCCCCGTTTCCAGCTGGACGAGCTGAGGTCTCTGCTGGGCACCACGGGGCCGGACGCTCCCCCCGACGGCAGCCCCGGTGGCGTGGAGCCGGTGCCGGCCGAGTGCCCCGTCTGCAGCACCGACGTCGGGGCGCAGCTCGGGCAGCTGCTGCGGCGCTACGAGCAGCTCCAGGAGCTGGTGGACTCCGTCCTGGCACGGCAGGCCATGGGCAAGGCCACCCGGCAGCTCCCCGGGAGGAGATGGGTACGGAGGGGTCGGCATTGGGGGGCTCGAGAAGGGACGTCAAAGGTTTTTGGGCACCGCGTCGGGTCCCCCCGCTCAGCGCCGCGCCCTCGCCTTGCTCCTGGCAGGAGGATGAGGAGCTGCTGAAGGGCATCCAGGCTGCCATCCTGCAAGTGCAGGGGGACTGCGAGAAGCTGGGCTCGGTCACGGGGAACCTGGTGGACGACCATCAGCAGAAGCAGAAGGACATCGAGGTGGGTGGCTTCGGGATCCCCGGGGCTGGGGACGGTGAGGTCCCCGCTGCTGCCCTCTGAGCACCGGGCGCCCGCTGCTTCCCAAGGCTCTGTTCCAGTCCCTGGAGAGGCTGCAGAAGGAGAAGGCGGACAAGGAGGAGCTGGTGCTGGAAATCGAAGTGGTGAGACCTCGAGGGGGCCCGGCGTTTTATCAGCAGGAGCCCCCGTGCCAGGAAGGGGCTGGGCTGGGATCCCCCGGTGCCACTTGTCCCCGTCCTGTCCCCATCCCCGTCCCCAGAAGGCAGACAGAGCCGCCCTGGCCGGCAAGGTGAGCTGCGCCCAGTTTGACGCCGCCGTGGAGCAGCTGAGTAAGATGATCGAGGACACCCTGAGCAAGGTGACGGGGCAGGAGCAGGGCTGGCACCGCGTCCAGCAGAAACTCGTGGAGGAGCTGGGCTCCAAGGTACAGCCCGGCCCGGCCCCGCTTCCCAGCCCCCTTCCCTGCTCCACGCCGCGGGCACCCCGCCGAGCCGGGGCACCCCTCCGGGCTTTGGTGGCCCCGGTGGCCCCGGCGCTGTGCCAGTGGGGCTGGTGGTGGCAGCTCGCTCAGGGAGGGGCTGTGCCACCCCCAGCTGGACCGCCTGGAGCTGGCACCGCTGCGGCAGCAGCTGGAGGAGCGCTGCAGGAGCATCCTGGGGCAGCTCCAGGAGCGGGCACCGCAGGCAGAGGCCGACGATGCCGCCGGGATTAGGAAGTGAGCGCCTTGGGGACAGCTGGGGACAGCTGGGGACAGCTGGGGACGCTCAGGTCACCAAATCAAAGCACTCTCAGGTGTCCCTGCGCATCCTCCCCCCGTGCCCAGGACCATGTCCCTTGGGTTTGTTCCACCCTTCCCCATGCAATAAGGATCCTAAAATCAGAGCGTCCCCAACCAGTGGTGCCCAAGGGGTGCCGGTGGCACCGAGGGCATTAAATCAGCTCCCTGCAGTGTGGGGGTGCCCCTGGGGGATGAGGTGCTCCCCAAACAAAGCTTCAGAAGGTTTTTTTTGGGGGAGGTGAGGGTGTGCACAGGGATGCGACGCCCCGAGGTGCGCAGCTCGGCCCCGATGTGCCCCCTGGCCGTGCGCCGGGCTGTAATTAGTGCTAACGAAGTGAAACTGAGCCTGTTCCCGGCGGGACCCCAAGGAGAACCCCCCCCCCTGCCCCATTCCCCGCCTGCCCCCCTGGTGCCACCCGCTCTCACCCAGCCCCTTCCCCCCCCCAGGCAGCTCCTGGCCCATTTCCACTGCGTGTCCTGCGACCGGCCCCTGCGCATGGTGGTGCCCGGCCCGTGAGTACCCCCGGGGGCTCGGGGGCTTTGCTGGGTGCTGTGGGTTTGGGGGGGTGCCGTGGGTTTGGGGGGGTGCTGCCCATTGGGGTCCCAGTCCCCCCAGTCCCCCAGTGCCCCCCATAGCCCTGCCCAGCTCGGTGCTGGCAGCAGGGCCCCCCCCAGGGCCACCGGTGAGCTCCCTGGGGTGCCCATCTCGGGGCAGGGGGATTTATTGCCCCCCCCCTCCCCGTGCCCTCCCCAGGCACATCGTGACCGTCCCACCCATGCCACCGCTGCTCCCCCGCCTCTCCGTGCGCCCCCACGCCATCTTCGAGCCGCAGCAACTACGGCAGCTCGGCCGCAGGTAGGGGGGACATGGGGACATTGGGGACATCGGGGACACGTCCCCCTCCCCAACAGCCTTTTGGGGGGGCCGGAGAGGGACGGCTCCCCCCTAGAGCACCCACCCGTGCCCACCCCGCAGGGAATGCGGGGCCGGGTGCGGGTACCTGCGGGTGCCTCGGCGCTGCGGGGGGCAGCACACCCGGCCCCCCCCCGCAGCAGAGGCGCAGCCCCCAGCTCCAGCACCTCCCACCCTGCACCCCCGGACACCCCCGGCCCCACAGCGGGCCCCCCATGAAGGTAAGGACCCGACCCGAGGGGCTGGGCACCTTGGCGAGGGGAGATGCGCACCTCGCTTCTCCATGGTGCTGGGTTGGGTTTTTTTTTTTTGGGGGGGGGATCCCCGTGGGGTTGGGGTTTTGGGGTTTTGGGGTTGGGGTGGGGGGGTCCCTGCGGTGCTGGCACCGTTCCCCAGCCCCTTCCCCAGCAGGACGAGGTGGAGCTGCTGGGTCAGGACGGGCACATCTACAAGGGCCGGCGGGACCTGCGGCTGCCTGCGCTGGTGGGGAAGGACGGTACGGCCTGGGGGGGGCTGTGTGGGTAGCCCCCTCCCCACATATGGGACACCCCACAGGGATTAACCCCTCTGCCTCCCTTTCCCCCCCCCAGGCACCCCCAGACCCCAGGAGTCACCCCACGGCCGCGTCCCCCAAGGACCGGGGCTCCCCTCGCCCCCGTGGGCGCCGCGGGATGGGAGAGAGACCCCAAGAGCGGAGAGGGGCCGGGGGGGCTCGGCTGGGAGCCCCCCCTGGGCACCACACGGGGGGGTCGGGCAGGAGCAATAAAGGGCGGTGGATGGGCAGCTAGGAGCGAGGTTGGTTTGGCCGTCACGTCCCTGCTGCGGGATCACGGGGGGCTCGTTCCCTGCTGCGGGGCTGCCTCCATCCCCGCGGCCCTATATCCGTGCCCCTCCACGTCCTTACATCCCAAATCCTTCCATCCTTTCCACCCTACATCCTACAGCCCTTTGTCCTCGCATCCCTACATCCTCACCTCCTTAAATCCTTAAATCCACCCATCCCCACCTCCTCACATCCTTATATCCTACATCCTTTCCTCCCTACACCCTTCCATCCCTATTTCCCTACACCCCAACCCACACCCCCAGCCCCCCCTACACGCGCCCCCATCACCTCTGGCTGCGTTTTTCTGCTTGGGGTGGCACCCCCCCGGCCATCCCAGGTTATGGGAATGCCACCAAAATCCCCAAATCCTTTGTGCAGAGAGGGGCCAGACCCCACAGCAGCCACGTGGGGTTTCTTTACCCACGGGGTGTTTTATGGGGCCGGGTTTATTGCTGCGGTGCTGGTGGTTCTCCACCTCGAGGTGCTGGCTCGGGGGGGTGCTTTGGGTCCCCCTCTTTTAGGGTCACCTCTCCCGTGCCCAGAAACCACGAGGGGATCCCCTGTGTTACCCTGGGTGTCCCCTCCTCCTTTGGCCCCACAGCAGCCCCCCTCTTGGTGCGTTGTCCCAATGGGTTTGGTCTTTAGGGGGGGGGAAATAGGGGCTAAAATCCTGCTTTTGGGGGGGGTCCCCACGGGCAGAGCACCCCAGGGCCCTACCCCAGTGGGTCTGGGGTCCCCCGGTGCCACCTCTGGGGCCAAAATGGGGAAAAAACAGAGAAAAGCAGTGATGAAAAGGGCAGCCCTGACCCTAATCCCGTTTGTGGGATGAGGCCCAGCTGCGCCTCCCAGTTCCCCCATAAACCCCAGCACCTGGGGGGGGCCCTCCTTTAGCCATGGGTGCTGCCGGCTCTGGAGCGGGTGAGTGGCCCCAGTGGGGGCTTTTTTGTTTTTTTTTTCCCCTTTTTTTGTCTTTAGGGTCCCCATCCCAGCTGGTGCGTCCCTATAGGATCAGGGCTGCGTGCCCCAGCCCTTGCTGGTGTCCCCCAGGGGGTCCCCAAAGAGCCCTTGGGGTGCTGGCAGGGGTCTGGCTGTGTCTGCGAGAGGGGATGTTTGGGAAACCCCATCCTGAGAGTGGGATTTGCCTAAAAACCCTGGGAACAGCAGGAAAACCCAGCGGTGCCAGCCCCGATCCCCAGCTTTTGGGGACAGCGGTCACAGGGACACGTGCTGGCTCCTGATGGCAGCGATCCCGATCCCACGGTGCCTGGTGGGGCTGGGAGACCCCCCCGGGAGATCCCCCAGGAACCAGACCCTACAGGGACAGGATCCCCCAGAGATCAGATCCGATAGGGACCAGCCCCCATGGGTGTCCCCAAGTCCCCCCTGGGTGTCCCCAAATCCCCAAGGTCACCCCCTCGTAGCACAGAGAGAGGTCGGGGACAGCTGCTGTTAAAAAACTGATTTTTTTTTTTTATTATTTTTAAATTAATAAAAAACCTTCAACCTGTTTTCCTTTTTTTTTTTTCTTTTTGTCTTTTTTTTTCTTTTTTTAAGCAAGATTCGATTTGAAAACTAAAAAAAAAAACAAAAAAACAAAACCAAACCCACCAACGCCCCTCTGCAGCTCCCCCCCCCCAAAAAAAACCCTGAAGGAGTCACAGGGATCGGGGTGGGGTGGGGGGGCATCACCCTATTAAATCACAGCCCCCCCTTCCTCAAGGAGGGGGTCAGGGGCCGGGGGGGGTGTTTTGGGGGGGGCTGTGCAAGAAGCCAGGCTGGATTTTGGGGAGCCAGAGCGCAGCAACGAGCACCCAGAGGTTCCTCGGGTCCAGGGGGGGGGGATGTGGGGGGGTTCATCCCCCCCCTCTCCATCCCTTTGGGTTTGGATTTCCTCCCCCCTACCTTTCCTAGGGGGGGTGGGGGGGGCACAAGCCCTCCGTGCCTGCTCGCTCCTTCCTTCGGGGTTTATATACATTAGATATATTTATATATTATAGTTATATATTAAAAAAAAAAAAAATGGGGGGGGGGAAGAGAAAAAAAAAAACAGCTGGCGACTCGTGTCCCCCCCCCCCACCCCAAAAAAAAAAAAAAAATTAATAAAACCTAAAAAAAAAAAAAAAAGGATTCCAGTGCGTTTCTCAGGAAGCCCCCAGCTCCGAACGCCCTGACCCCCCCCCTCCCCAAAAAACACCCCCCCCGACCCCCCCACCCCCCCCCCGGGCATCCCCAGCCTTATCTCTGCCCGTCCATGGTGGCCACGGCTTTGTGTGGGGGGGCGGCGGGCGGCGGGGCGGGGGGGTGCAGGTGGTGGTGGTGGTGATGGAGCCCGTGGGAGGTGGGCGACGAGGGGGGCAGCCAGGGGGGGGGCTGCTGCTGTTGCCCCCCCTGCCCGGGGGGGGACGAAGCCCAAAAAGGGCTGAACCCCCCCGGGGGGGAGCAGGCCATGGAGGGGATGGGGCTGTTGCTGCTCTGTAGGGTTTCCGACGTCCGCAGCTTGGAGAACATGGCCAGGGCGTCCGGGAAATTGGGCGGAGTGGCCGGCGTGTTGCTCGGGGTGCACATCTGTGGGGAGACAGCGGGGTGGTTAGGGTCCCCATGGGGGTTTCGGGTCCCCAATGGGACATTTGGGGTCTCCAGTGGGACATTTGGGGTCCCCATTGGGGTGTTTAGGGTCCCCAATGGGACGTTTGGGGTCCCCACAGGATGTTTGGGGTCCCCACGGGACATTTAGCATCCCCAATGGGACATTTGGGGTCCCCAATGGGGCGTTTAGGGTCCCCAATGGGATGTTTGGAGTCCCCATGGGACATTTAACATCCCCAATGGGATAATTGGGGTCCCCAATGGGACATTTAGGGTCCCCAGTGATGGGGGTTAGCATCCCCATGGGGGCATTTAGGGTCCCCAACGGGACAGCCAGGGTCCCCATGGGGGGTTTCAGGTCCCCAACAGGGCATTTGGGGTCCCCAATGGGATGTTTGAGGTCCCCATGGGACATTTAGCATCCCCAATGGGGTGTTTAGGGTCCCCAATGGGACATTTGGCATCCCCAACGGGGTGTTTAAGGTCCCCAATGATGGGGGTTAGCATCCCCATGGGGGCATTTAGGGTCCCCAGTGGGACATCCAGGGTCCCCAATGGGATGTTTAGAGTCCCCCATGGGACATTTAGCATCCCCAATGGGACATTTGGGGTCCCCATGGGATGTTCGGGGTTCCTCATGGGACGTTTAGGGTCCCCATGGACACTTAGCATCCCCATGGGACATTTAGGGTCCCCATGGGATGTTTGGGGTCCCCATGGCACATTTAGCATCCCCAACAGGGTGTTTAAGGTCCCCAACAGGGGGGGGTTAGCATCCCCATGGGGGCGTTTAGGGTCCCCAATGGGATATCCAGGGCCCCCATGGGGTGTTTAAGGTCCCCAACAGGGCATTTAGGGTCCCCATGGGACGTCTGGAGTCCCCCATGGGGCATTTAGGGTCCCCATGGGGTGTTTCAGGTCCTGTCTGTGGGGTCCCACCACCAAACTGCTTTATGGGGTCCCCCCCAGCCGGGCTCTGGTCACCATCGGGGTCCCCAGCGCTGTGCTGGTGGGGTCTGGATGAGGCTGCACCCCCTGAGGGCTCCCCTAAACCCATAAAACTTGTTTTTTTTTTTTTTTTTGTTATTTTCCAGCCCCATTCTGCGCCCCTGTCCCAGAGCTCACCTCGGGGCAGTGCTAAGCCAGCTTTTCTTCCCTATTTTTATTTTTTTTAAAAAACCCTAAATTTGGCAATACCCTAAAAGATGTTCGATCCACAACAGCGCTCTGCTAACCCCGAGAGGCTCTTTTTTTTTTTTAAAAAAATAAATAAAAATACCCCAAAAGCAGCTGTGGGCAAACAGCAGCTCCGGCCCGAGGAGGCGGGACGCAGCGCGGCCTTTTTGGGGTGAAATTGAGCAGGATTGGTTAAAAAAAAAAAAAAACAAAAAACAAAAAACAAACAGCAGCTGGGTGATCATTGCCTCCCCCCCAAAAGGTTTTTTTTTTTTTAGGGAGCTGTAGGGTCGGTGCCCACCAGTGCCAGGAGGGATTTGGGGTGGGATTTGGGGTGGGATTTTGGGGTGCCCCTTGCTGTGTGGGGGCCCCTGTGTATATGGGGGGGGCACCACTTGGCCCCACGTGGAGCTGGGCTGCCCCAAAACCCAGTGGGGTTGGGGAAGGGGGCAGGAAATCCTGGGGGAAGGGGGGACACAGCCCTGACCCCCCCCCGGCACTTCCCTTTTGTAGGGTCGGGGCCCCCCCGGGGGTGTTTCGCCCCCGAGCTTCCTGCGGTGATGGGGGGGGAATAATTATAAAAAATAATAATTATTATTTTTTGAGCATTTTATGAGCATTTTGAGGCCTGAAGCTGGCCCCGCAGCTCCCGGCCTGTCTCCCTTCCCCCCCCAAGCTGATTTTTGGGGGCTTTTGGGGTTTTTTGGGGGCATCTCACCAGCTCTCCAAAGCGCCCCATTGGCTTGAGCGTGGGGGGGGATGTGGGGAAGCCCCCCCATGAGGCCAGGAAGGAGACAAAACCCAAATCCCCCCCCCGAGTGGGGTCACCGGGACAGGGCTCTGCTCCTGGGGGGGTTTTGGGGGAATTTGGGGGGGATTTTGGGGACCTGAACGTGGGAGGAAAATCGGGACGGGGAGGGGAATAAAAGGGTCGGGGGGGGGACACGGCGGCATGGCAGGCACCAGCCTGGGTATGTTGCTTTCCCTATTTGTCACCGGCCCCCCCACAGCACCAAAAAAGGGGAAAAAAATGAAAAATTAATTAAAAAAATAAATAAAAATTAAATAAAAAAGAACCGCGTCCTCTGGGGGGGGGGGCAAAGCGGTGAAAAAAAAACACAACAAAAAGCGTGGCCGGGGGGGCACCCTCTGACCCCCCCCTCCCCAAAAAAATTGGGGTCGTGCCCTGGGTGGGGGCGAGGTCAGGGGGAAATTTGGGGCCCCCCCCTGGACCCCCCCCCCTCGGTGGTGCCGGGGCCGGGCCCGGCCATTTCCTGGCAGACATCTTGGCTGCTCGGGGCCGCGGGCGGCAATATGGCTGGCGGGGGGGGGCAAGGGGATCGGGGGGGGGTTTGGGGGGTCAAAGGGGGGGTAATGGGGTGTGGGGGGTGGGTTTGGGGTGGGGGGGGGCCCCCCGGGCCTTACCATCTGGTGGTGGTGGTGGCTGCCGGGAACGTTGCTCTCCTGGAAGAAGGCGCTCAGGGCGGTCTGCGGGGGGGGGACGGGGGGTTTGGGGTGAGCCCCCTGAGCGAACAGGGCCGGGACCCCCCCCCTTAAAACCCCCCATCCCTTAAATCCCCCCCCATGTCCATAAATCCCCCCCCACATCCATAAATCCCCCCCTTTAAACCCCCAGCCCTATCCCCCCCCCCCCCCATGGGACCCCAATCCCCCTGCACCCACCCCAAATCCCCCCCCCCCCACCCCTTTTACACCATGGGGGGGCTGCACCCCTTTTTTTTTGCCCCCCCCCCAAATCCCCTCCAGGGCTGAGGCCCAGCCGGCAGATCCGGTATGGGGCCGGGTAAATAGGGCCGGTTTTTCCTCCCCATGGGGGGGGGACACACAGCAGGGCCCCCCCACGACCCCCCCCCCCCTCCAGCAGGGCCCTGTCCTGGTTGTATAAGGGGGGGGGTGGGGGTTATTGGGACCCCCCCCTTCCCCAAGGTGTATGGGGGGGGTGGGGAGGAAATGAGGGGGTGGGGAGGGGGTGATTGGGGTGGGGGGGGCACAGGGGGGTGTTATGGGGGGGGGCACAGAGGGGGGACACGGGGGGGGCAATAACACGGGGGGGGCAATAGGGGGGTAAATTGGGGGGATACGGGGAGGGGGGACACAGGGGGGACAAGGGGGGTGTATGGGGGGGTTGTATGGGGGGGGGCACATTTGGGGGGGGTTAAGGGGGGGGCACACTGTGGGGATACAGGGGGGGGGTCCACAAGGGGGGGGTACAGGGAAGGGGTTCACAGGAGGGGGTCTAAGGAGGGGATCTATGGTTGGGGGGGGGTGTCTATGGCTGGGGGGGGGTTCCCGGGGGGGGTCCCGTTTTTTTTTTTTTTTTTTTTTTTTTTTTGGGGGGGGGGGGGCCAGCGCCGTACCTCGAACTGCCAGTGCGCCGCCTGCAGCAGCTGCTTGGCCTGGTCGGCGGCGCAGCCGGCCGCCAGCACGAACTGGTTGATCATCACCTGGTGCCGCAGCTCCTCCATGTTCACCGACATGGCCCGGGGGGGGGGGGTCCCGGGGGGGGGCCCCCTCCGAGCGCCGCCCTGGGAGCCCCGAGCGCGCCCCGCGCCGCGCCGACACCGCGGGGAGGGGGCGGGGCCTCAATGAGCGGCCTGGCCCCGCCCCCTCGCTCTGATTGGTTCCCCGCCGCGCCTCCCGCCCCGCCGGCCCCGCGCTTCGAATCTTCCAGCTGCCCCGGCGCCTCGCCCCGCCCCCCCGCTCGCTCATTGGTCGGACGCTTGTGTTTTGGCCGCGGGCGGCTCTGCTATTGGGCGAGGGGTGGTTATGTCCCGCCCCCTCCGGGGAGTAGGGAGGGGGAGGAGGAAGGAGAGGGTTCGCTCGCTGATTGGCCCCGCTGCGGGGCGCCATTGTGACGTCACGGTTCATTCAGGAGTTTTCATTCATGGCGCGGCCCCGCCCCTCCCCCTCCCCACTACGCGCCCGGGGCCGCCCCCGTCCCGGCCCCTTTTAATTCCCTTTGGGGTTTAGGTTGGGGTATAAAGGCCACGCCGAGAGGTGCCTGGGATTCCCCTCCCGCCAGCCTCTCTCCTCTCGCCCCGGCGATTTTCGGGGGTCCTGGGGCGCCGGAGGCGTCCCGGAGCCCGGAATTAAAGGGAGAGGGGGCTGCGATGGGAGGGGAGGGAATGGGGTGGGCTGGGAGGGAATAGGGCGAGATAGGAGGGAATAGGGCGAGATAGGAGAGAATAGGACGAGATAGGAGGGAATAAGGCGAGATAGAAGGGAATAGGGTGGGCTGTTAGAGAATAGAGTGAGAGAGGAGGGAATAGGGTAATAGGGTAATAGGGTGAGATAGAAGGGAATAGGGTGGAAGGGAGTAGGGTGGGATGGGAAGGGATAGGGTGGGCTGGAAGGGAGTAGGGTGAGATAAGAGGGAGTAGGGTAAGATAGAAGAGAATAGGGTAAGTGGGGGGAATAGGGTAAGCGGGGAGGGAATAAGGTGAGATAGAAGGGAGTAGGGTGAGCTGGAAGGGAATGGGGTGGGGTGGGAGGGAGCAGGGTGAAATAAGAGGGAGTAGGGGAAGCTGGGAGGGAATGGGGGGAGATAGAAGGGAATAGGGTGAGCTGGGGGGGAGCGGGGGGAGCTGGAAAAGGCCCTTGGGGGTTTGGCTGTGGTGATGGGCAAACAGGAAGAGGGGATAAAGAGGCTGGAGGCAGCCTCAGGCACCAGTGGCCCCAGCACCGGGTGCTGAGGCCCCACAGGGGATCACTGCAGCCTCCCCCTGGGTCCCACGGTGGGGGGGCTGCTGAGAGGAGCCCCCTCCTCACCAACCCCTCACCAGCTGATTTTGGCAGCCCTCATCCTCCCTGGGCCACAGCACCCGTCCCATCTGCACGAGCAGTCTGGGACTTAGTCCTTCATAAAAAAAAAATAAAAAAATATAAAAAAATAAAAAAAACACCATTTCTGGCCTTGGCATAGAGCAAAAACACCATGGGGAAGAAAAAAAAATGGAAAAGAAGCTCTCCTGGGGCAGGCTGGGGTGGCTGTGGGGACGCGCTGCCCCTTGGGGCTGTGGTGTCAGCCCCCCCTGGGCAGGGCAGGGTCCCCCAGTGCCCCACTGCACCCACCCGCAGTCCTCGTTAGGTCAGCGCCCGCTAACGAGGGGCCTGGCGGGTTCCCAGCTTACAGGGCTGCATGGGGAGGGCTGGGGGGTTCGGGGGGGAAAATGGGACGAGGGGTGTTGGGGGCTGGGAGGATGGAGCCCCAGGAAGGGCAGGGGACAGTGGTGGGGACACAGAGCCACGGGGAGCAGGGGGTGAGCCTGCAGCTTCTGAATAAACAGCGGGAGGAGAAAGGGATGGGATGGGATGGGATGGGGATGGGGACGGGGATGGGATGGGGATGGGATGGGAACGGGATGGGGATGGGATGGGAACGGGATGGGGATGGGATGGGGATGGGATGGGGATGGGGATGGGATGGGGATGGGGATGGGATGGGATGGGATGGGATGGGATGGGATGGGATGGGATGGGATGGGATGGGATGGGATGGGATGGGATGGGATGGGGATGGGGATGGGGATGGGGATGGGATGGGATGGGATGGGATGGGGATGGGGATGGGGATGGGGATGGGGATGGGATGGGGATGGGGATGGGGATGGGGATTGGTGGCGGGTCACTTCCAGCTCTGCTCCAGACGAGTTTCCCTCCCTGCACACCGGGACGTGCCCTGCCTCCCCTGGGAAGCTCTGTGGGGTTTGGGGGCAGCCAGCCCCTTCCCAGCATCAAACTTTGGTGTCTGCTGACTGCGGGCCTGATCCTGACACCCCAGCTGTGCCCCCCCCGCAGGCCAGCAGCCACCTCCAGGTCCCTGCCCCTGCCCCTTCCCCTTCCCACCCGCCAGCTCCCCCCAGCCGGTGCTTTGCCCCCACGTCCTGCCCAGCAGCAGGTGCATTTTGGGGTTAAACACTGCTTTTTCAGCTTCCCCCTCCCTCTTCCTGCACCGACCCTTTTGGGGTCTGTCCCTGCTTTTCATTTTTGGGGTCTGGAGGGGATCAGGCGAGCAGGGAAGGGAGGCGAAGCTGGACCCCGAGCTGTGCTGTCACCGCTCCTGCCCGCGCTCCCTCGCTCCACTGCGGCACCGTCCTGCCAAACCCTCTGCTGCAGCAACACACGGCTGGAAAAAAAAATAAAAAATAAAAAATAAAAATAAAACCAGCACAAAAAGCCACCCAGCCGAGCCGTGCGTGCACGCAGCAGCCCTGCCCGTAACGCAGCCTCCTGGCTCCACGCAGGGCTAACTTGGAGATATTGTCTGCAGCGGAGCCCTGCGGGTGCTGCTGCTGGGATGTGACGGGGCTGGATGCGGCCCCAAAGCCTCCCCTGGGGTCTGGGCTGGTGCCGAGGTTTGGGGCTGCCGAGGTTTGGGGGCTGCTTCGTTTTGGGCAACCCGAGCCAGGACCTGACCCATTTTTTTCCCAGGGTTTGGGAGAGGCCGGATCCAACCTCGGCTTCTCTTTCGCAAACGTTCCCTGCTCGAGATTTGGGGCCACGATTCCTGGTGCGAGGATTTTAGCACCAGCCCCAGGCTGCACCCACCCTGCCGCAGCCCCCCCGTGCCCACCGTGCCGGGGCTTTGTGCCGGAAAAAAGGAGAGCAAACGTGGGCGAGGAAGGAGGGGGGGACGTGTGCGTGCCTGTACGGGGGGGGCACACGGCGGAGAGCCCCCGCTCAGCACCAAGGCACTGAGGCCGTTGGGGCGCTGCACAGCCCCGGGGGGGTTTTATAGCGTGCGCCTTATCAGCTCGAATCAAAATCAGGCGACGCTTGGATAAACCCACGGGATTCAGCCACCGCCTGTGTTTCCCTGTGTGCATCCATCCTCCCGAAGGGAAGCCCCCAGGGCACCCGGTGCCCCCCCCGGCAGCTCGGCGCTGGGCACCCAAGGGTGCAGGAAAGGTGCTGGGGTGCTCGGGGATCCCCCGGCGGTGGCTCCAGCTCCGTGCCCCTGCGCCTGGTGGTGTCTGGGTGCAAGGGGGGGGCTTGGATCCTGCCTGGGGGTGCTGGGGGGGGGGACAGGGTGGCCCCGTCCCTGCGCTGGGGGGTCCCGGGGGTGGGGGGGCTGCTGGGGTCACCCGGGGGGGTGGCACCGGGGGTGGGGACTGGGGTGGGGGACACTGGGTGGGTTACTGGGGCAGGCAGGTGGCACCAAGTGGGACCAGTGCGTGGCACTGGGAGCAGCTGGGAGACACTGGGGGCGGCAGGCGGGGGCTGCTGGGGGCAGGGGGCACCAGCAGGGACTGCCGGGGGGGGGGGGGCACAGGAGGCAGCGCCTTGCCCTGCGGCACCCCTGTGCCGAACCGCGCCGCGCCGTGCCATATCGTGCCATATCGTGCCATATCGTGCCATGTCGCGCCGCGCCGTGCCATGTCGCGCCACGCCGAGCCGTGCCAAGCAGAGCGGTGCCCTGCAGCCCGGTGCCGTGCCGTGCCGATCCGTGCCGATCCGAGCCGTGCCAAGCGGGCGGGGCGACCCGGGCCGGCCCCGCATTGGCGCAGCCCCGGCGCTAGCGCGGAGGCGGTGCCGGGCGCGGCGCAGCGCGGAGGATGCTGCGGGAGGGGGGAGCCGCCGCTGCCAGCCCCGGTGCCGGTACCGGGCGGGAGGGTGGCCCTCTGAGACCCCCCCGTTGAGCCCCCCCACCCCAGCCCGGCCATGGGGGCGCTGACCAGCCGGCAGAACGCAGGGGTGGAGGAGGTGGACGTCCCCGCTAATTCCGTCTATAGGTACCCCCCGAAATCCGGTGAGTGGAGGGGAGAAAGGGGGGGGGGCACCCGCATTTCGGTGCCGGGAGGGGTTGGGGACACGAGGCACCGCCTTGCTCTGCTAAGGGAAGGTGACCCCAAAAAGCCCCAGCCCGCTTTGGGGGCTCAATGGGGTCGGGGATGCTCCCGCGCACCCCAACGCCCACCCGCACCCCTCGGGGGGGGGACCCCAAAACTTGGGGTGTGGGGCTGGGCGCCCCGGGGCCGTGTGGGGACAGGCTGGGGCCGGGGTGACCCCCGGGGGTGCCCCATCTCCAGGGGTCCCTTTACCAGCTGCGAAACTTGGCCGAGTTTTTGGTACTTTAATCCCATTTTTGGTACTTTAATCCCATTTTTGGTACTTTAATCCCATTTTTGGTACTTTAATCCCATTTTTGGTACTTTAATCCCATTTTTATTTGCACCGGGGGGCTGAACGCCGGCGCTCGCTGCCAGCTGCTCGGGCAAAGCCGGCTTTAAATTCCCGGGAGGATGCCTGGGGTGGGAGGGATCGCAGGGGACCCCTCCTTCCCCTGCGCTCTGCCCCCCCAGCAGCCCCCCAGCCTCTGCTGTCACCCCCCAAGCTCCTGTCCCCGTCCCCGATGTCTCCCCCCTTCCGAATCCGGCCCTGCCTCAAACCTTGTGCGTGACCTTGGAAAAATCGGGGCCCTCCCCTCCCTGCCACGGGGCTGGGCTGAGCCGCTGGCTGCGGGGGGGTCGTGGGGATATCCTGGGGGGGGGGGGGGTCACACGCCAAGAGGTCACGGAGCTGGGTCCTGGGGGGTCCTGGCATAAAAACAGCAAAAAATATAAAAATAAAAATAAAAATCTGTGGCTGGTGCCTGTGTGTGCCCGGGGATTGCCACAGCATCCTTGCGGCGCCAGCTGATATTAATAGGTGACTATTTTGGGGGTTAATAGGATAAGGTAAGTGCTTGGGTCGTTAGCGCCGGGGCAAATTACTCGCTCGTTAGGAATAAAGACATCCTCAGGAAGAATTGCAGCCTGCCCAAACCTTCTCCTCGTCCCGAAAAGCCGTGCTCGGCTTGTTTTGATTTTATTTTATTACGGGGCTGGGTGCGTTTTATTGCTGGGCTTTGTTATTCCTGGGCTGGGTGCGTTTTTAGGGGGGTGTCTTGGGGGTCGGGGGAGCGCTGCCGCTGCCCTAGGGTAGGGACTGTGCCCAGCTGGGGGCTCCGGGGGCATCTCAGCTGGCAGAGGTCAGGCTGGGGCTGACCCCCGGATTTTGGGGTCTTCTCCACGGGGCTCCTCTCCACGGGGAGGTGCCTGGGTGGCAGGGAGGGACGCGGCCAGCTGCACCAGAGCACGGGCTGGTGGCCCCAGGCTGGTGGCCCCAAGAGATTACGGCCGCTCTGCCCCTAATCCCAGGGGGATTTGCCTTTGGTGGCTGAGCGGGAGGAAGAGGAGGAGGCAGCGGGGCCGGATCCTGCGCAGCGGCAGCGCCTCGCCCCCATCGAGCCTGGAGGTGCCCCCCTGGGGCGCGGGGCCGTGGCTCGCTCCGGGTGGCCACAGCGGCCACTTCTTGTCCCCATCGAGCAGCTCCTCTTCTCGTCCCGGGGGTCTCCACCCCAGGGGCTGTGGGTCCCTGCGTGGGGGCAGGATCCTTATTTCAGCCCCAGTCCCTGGCTGAGGCTGGGGCCACACAAGTTCGGGGCCAGGAGCAAAGACGGGTGGCCACGTGGGGACACCCCAAGTCCCAGGGACACCCCGAGAGGGCTGATGCAGCAGCTCCAGGGCTGGGGCACCAAGGTTTGCACCCATGGGGTCCCTGCAGGTCCTGGGGGAGCTCCCCAGGCGCTGTGCAGGGAGGTGCTCATGGAGAAAAGGGGCTGATGGCAGCGGGGGGTGCCTGGGGACGTCCTGCAGCAAGGTGCTGGTGGCCCTGTGGGTTTGGTTCGCTGGGAACGTGGAGCAGCCGGGTTTGGTTCTGCCCTTTGAAGCAGCCGCTCCGTCCCTGCGGCTTGCAGCCTTTCCCTCCTGCTCTCTGGCTCTGGAGGTGAAGCTTTCACTAAAGCCTGGCTGTCCCTGGGTGCTGTGACCGTCCTTGTCAGGCTCTCCTCCCCCCCCCGGGGGCAGCTCTCGGGTGAGGAATTACAATTAGCCCATAATGAGAGCACCCCTGCTTCCCTCTCTGCCCCTCGGTGGGGCCCGGCGGTGCCCGCGGTCACCCGGCGGGGCTGGCAGCATCCTGCCGAAGCCAAAATCATCTTTTTTTTAATTTATTTTTTCTCATCTCCTGCCTCTTTAACCTCCTTTGCTGCCGGCTGCAGCGCTCAGCCCATGTAAAATTGATGCAGCTCTGCACGGCGAGTCCCGCGGGAGGGCGAAAGCGCAGCCGAGCGTGGCCAGGAGCCCCCAGCCCCAGGGTTTTGTCCCCGCCAGGACACACAGAGGGGGGGGAGCTGAGGGTCCTGGGCCGTGCCACGGGGACCTGCAGCACCCAAGGGTGCTCGGAGACCCCCGCAGGGAGGCTGGGTGATGCTCCGTGCCAGCGAGCCGTGGCTGGGGTCACCGCACAGAGCCTGGGCTCGGATTTTCAGCTTTTCCCCTGGAAAGCTCTCGGCCTTGGGTTGAGCCTGGGGCTGTTCTCCCTGCGCCTCGCCAGGCTTTGGGCTCGGTTTTGGGGTTTTCCGTGGGGTGTGAAGGCCTGAGCAGGAGCTGCATCAGCTGGGAGCCAGCCGCAGCCTCTGACTTCGGTGCCCAAAGCCCGGCCACTTTGAGCTGCGGACCCCAAACGTTTTCCTCCTGGAGGATTTCCCCGGAGGAGCTGGGGGCGTTTGCGTGGCTGTGTGGCCCCATGGAAGCAACCAGGGGCTGTGGGTTTTTTTTCAGGGGTCGTGGCTAAAGCTTGGGGTGAATCTGCTCGGATTAAATCCCGCTGGACTGAGCAGACGCCTGCGGGGTGCTGCGCCGGGGCCGTGCCCCTGCACCAGCCCATTTCCATCTCGGCTCTGCCTGCGTGGCTGCTCCGGGCCATAAATCAGAGCAGGCAGCAGCTCCTTTACCCACAACGAGCTGTGGGGCCACGAGGCTGCCGCTTCCCTGCTCCCCGGGGCTCCCCTGCGTGGAGGTGGCTGGAGGGGAAAGGGGGCAGCGGGGCAAAACGGGTGGGAGAAGGGCTGCCTAAAAGGGTCGCTCCTTCACCCCTGCACCTTCACGTGCCCAAAACCAAAAGGGTTTGGGCGAGGTGGCCTTGGGGACGAAGCCACCCTGGGGACGAAGCCCCCCCGAGCCAGCCGCCGGCAGCAGCTCCCCGTGGTGCCCGCCCCGCTCAGTCTGTCCGTCTGTCCTTCCTCCCCAGGGAGTTATTTCGCCAACCACTTCATCATGGGCGGCGAGAAGTTCGACTCCACGCACCCCGAGGGTTACCTCTTCGGCGAGAACAGCGACCTCAACTTCTTGGGGAACCGCCCCGTGCTGGTAGGCACCAGGGGGGGGATTTGGTGTCCACCAGCCGAGCGCTCCGGGGTGGGCTGAGTGGATTCTCTGCTGTCTGCTATAGAGGTTGGCCACTCGCCACCATGTCCCCTCCTGGGCTGCAGGAGCTGTTCTGCTCGTTTCTGGCTTCTCCAAACCCGGTGTTATTTTTATGAATCGTATTTTTACCCGACAAAAAGGTTTGGGGCCAGTTTGCTTCTTGTGTGTGTGCCAGCTGGGGATGCCCGGCTGCCTCAGTTCCCCAGGGACGCTCCCTGTGTGCCCGCTCCTGGGGCTGGGGTTTTGTTCCTGCTGCATTTAGAAAGCAAGGAAGTGGCACCAGGACCACCCTGGCAGTGGGATTTCATTTCTGGGAGGGCTCAGGCAGTAAAAAGCCTCAAGGTGAGGAATGAAAAGGCACCGAAGCTTTTCTGGTGGATCAAAACGAGCGTGCCCGCTCCGGACAGCTCAGCTTTCGAACGTTCCTCTCCATCCCGTCGGCTTGCCCAGAAACCAGAGGCCAGGATCCACCTCCCCTCCCTTGAGAAATCCCCTTGATGCCAGTGAAAGCCTCCCAGCTGCCCCCGTGCGTTTCTGGGGGCACAAATCCTGGCAGCAGCCCGCCGGGAGCAGCAGGGGAGGCAGACGACCAGCTTGGAAGCAGCAGAAGGAATTAACGCGGCGCTGCAAGCTGAATTGCATCGCTCGGGCTTAATTACCGGGGGCGCTGAGAGGCTGAGCTTCAGAGATTTGGGGTCACAGCGGGGATGTGAGGGCTGGGGCCGGAGGACCTGCGTTGGTTCTGGCCTGATGCTGTGTCCAGGCCCCATTTAAGCATCTCTGGTGCTGCCCCCAGCCCTTTTCTGATGCTCCGTGGCTGTTTTGTGCTCCGGGCTGCTGTTACAGAGACGCAGCAGGGCTGGAAATGTCAGAGGCCGCCAGTGCTTTACGCAGGGAGATTTATGTTGGGTTCCTTCGGGTGTCCCCAAAGAGCTGGGGGGTTAATGTCTGGGAAATGCTGCCCTAAATCCTCTCTGAGCCGAGCGGCTCGGGGCGAGCTGGCAAATCCCAGCTGCAGGTGCTGGGGCTGGGCAGGCGCAGAGGTTTGGCCGGGGGTGGCCGCATCCTGCCCGCGGGACCCTGCCCGCTCCTCCCCGGTGCCCTCGGTGCAGGGCGCTTCTGCAGCGGGTGGGGAAGGGGCTCGGAGCTCCTCAGAGCCACAGAAACCAGCCCGGGGCTGCTCGTGGACAAAGCCCCGGGGATATTTTGGGGGTTTTTTGGCTTCGGCAGGAGCTGGCTGGGACCAAACATCGCTGCAGGCGTGCACACGGCGTTCCCAAAGGGATGGCTGGTCAGAGCGAGGATATTTTGCTGTTGTTTTTTGGCTTGATTTAAGTCAAGGGGATGGAAGGAAGTCCTCCAAGCGGCCCCTTTGTGATTGCGCAAATCTGGCTTGCACAATTTCATTAACGTTTTTTTAAAAAGTCGCCAGAAAAGGGCCCGCAGCTGGGCGCGAGAGAGAGAGCCCAACGGTGACAACTGAACGGTTCCTGCAGCAAGAAATTTACCCCCGGAGCTTCCCCATTCCACCCAGCCCAACGGCTGCTGCCTGCCTCGACCCCAAATTTATGGGGGGGAGACCAAAAGGGCCCCCCAGGGGCTGTGGGGGGAGCCGTGCCCCATGGCACGCTGCTGGCTGCTGCACCGGGGTCGTTGTGCGCAGAGGGGTCCTGCACCCATGGGGGGCTTTTGGGGTCCTTGGGGTGCTGAGGGCACGGCGAGGTGCAAACGAGGGGGCAGATTGGATTGCTTCGTTAATTAGAGCAATGAGGATGGGTCGGCCGGTGGCTGTGGGTTGTGCTCAGCTTTCGGGTTCCTGCTCCCTCCCAGCCGCACCAGGCAGGCTGTGGGTGCCCGAGGCTCCTGGCAGAGCTCGTTAGCGCGGCTTAATGACTCAGCAACCCCTTTTTGAGGAAAAGGTGACAATTTCCAGGTGCCACTGAATCCTCAGAGGGCCCTGTGCCACCACCACCTGCGGGCTGAGCAGGCTCCAGCCTGGGTTCCCCCTGGCCAGGGGAAGGTGATCGTCCCTTGGGGGGGCTCAGCACACCTCAGGGACACCCAAAGGAGGGGCAGAAATTGGGGGGAGAAGCCCCCCTGGGTCCCTTCCCATACCCTCGGTCTGCCGTGGTGTCCCCTCTCCTCTACGAGCCCTGCAGCCCCCATGGTGGCTGCAGGTGACAGGGGAGGGACAAGGTCACCTTGGAGGGTGGCACCGCTCTGCTCTCCCTCACAGCGACGCCGGCACCCCCATCGGCTCCCCCCGCTGTACAGGGGCTGATGGGGACCCCCCAGCCCCAACCCCATCCATTTGGGGACAAAAGCGGGGGATTTGTGGCCGTTCCTTTGGTGCCGGGCACCGAGCGGGCTCCGTGCTCCCCCTCCCTCAGCTCCGTGCTGCAGCAGCAGGCTAAAAATACAGCAGCGGCCGCCCGCAGCGCCGTGGGATCCACGGGGGGGGCTCGGGCACCTCGACCCCGCTTCCCCTTTGTCCTTGAGACTGCCCCCTCTCCGCGTGCCAGACCCCATAAGCCGTCCCCAGCAGGGTGGTGTCCCCGTTGGCACGCCGCCTGCTACCCGAGGTGGATGCGGAGTTTGTTTTGGGGTCGGGGAGGGTGCCCGGGGGGGTGCTGGGGGCTGGCTCTGCCCTGTTATGGTGGGGGTCTTAAAGAAAGAAGCCCCCGGGGTAGGGTCCTTAAAGACAGAACTGATCGCCCCCAGGGAGGGGGAGCGTTTAGGAGGTCGGTGTGGGGTGCGCGTGGGGCTTTTGGGGAGGTGGCTTTGTGGGGGAAGGTTCCATTTGGCATGGGTTTGCCCAGCCTGGGAGGGGATTTGGGTGTCCCCACGGCACTGCCCCGGCCTGGGGGGGCTTCTGGGGGCTCCCTCCGGGGTTTTGGGGTGCTCTGCCATTGAGGAGGGACAGGGGTCTCACCGCTGTCTCTCTCGCCCTAGTTCCCTTACGCCGCTCCGCCTCCCCAGGAACCCGTCAAGACCCTCAGGAGCCTGATCAACATCCGCAAGGACACCCTGCGCCTCGTCAAGTGAGTCGGGGGGGTGCTCCCCTCGAGGGGGGGTGCTCCCGGCCCCGGTGTCTGCGGGGGGGGACAGAGCTGGCCCCGAGCAGGTGCCCCCTCCCCAAGTCCCGGCACGGGCGAGCTTCCCGCGCCAGCCCGCGCCTCTCGGGGCGAGGGGATTAAGCGGAGCTCAGCGCTGCCTTTGAAGCGGTTTTGCTTTTTCTTCCCCCAAAAAGGCTTTATCGGAGGGAGGCCGGGGATTGGGGCTGAGCAGGGGGGCGGGTTGGGATTAGGGCTGGAAGCTGCCCGGATCTCGGGCGGGCTGCGCGCTCCTGGCGTGCCTCAGCTTCCCCTGCTGAGCCTTTTGGGGACGCAGAGGGGGTGGTGACCTCGGTGGCCACCCCGTGGCACCCCAACAGCCGGGGGAGCCGTCCCCACAGGGTGCCCACACCCTCTGTGCCCCCCCAGGTGCTCGGAGGAGGTGAAGACCCCGGGGGAAGAAGTGAGCAAAGCCAAGGTGCACTACAACGTGGAGTTCACCTTCGACACGGACGCCCGCGTGGCCATCACCATCTACTACCAGGCGAGCGAGGAGTTTCACAACGGGGTGGCGAGGTGAGGAGCCCGGCACGGCGTTGTGTCCCCCCCCGTTGAGTTATTTTAGCCCCCTTTTAGGACTTTTGGCCCCAGCCCCGAGTCCCATCCCCTAAGGGAAGCAGAGCACCGGCTCCTCCTGCCCCCCTACTGACCCTGCCCTCTGCCCGAGGGACAGCTACGTCCCCAGGGACAGCAGCCTGCAGTCGGAGACAGTGCACTACAAGCGGGGCGTGTGCCAGCAGTTCTGCGTGCCCTCCCACACCGTCGACCCCTCCGAGTGGACCGAGGAGGAGGTGAGCAGCGCCCGACGGGTGCCGGACCCTTGAGGGATCCGAAACCGTTTGGGGACCGGCCCCAAAACGCCCCCAAAGCTGGCTGCGAGCACCCACGGGAGCTCATCCCCTTTGGGGTGAGCAAACCCGGGGGGTTTGGGGGCTGCGGCTCGGCGGATGGGAGACCAAAACCTCGCTCCTCCTGACCGAGCCTTTCCTCCGGGGGGCAGCTGGGCTTCGACCTGGACCGGGAGGTGTTCCCCATGGTGGTGCACGCGGTGGTGGATGAAGGCGATGGTGAGAGGGGGCCCCCATTTATTTTCCCGGCTGCACAGGGCAGGGCAGAGCCCCCTGCTCCTCCCGGGGGACTCGTCCTCGGTCCCTGAGCCCCCCTGCTCGGTGTTTTCTTGCAGAGCACGCCGGGCACAGCCACGTGCTGCTGGCCACCTTCGAGAAGGTGAGAGCGGGGCTGGGGCCCCCCCATCCCCTCCTGTCCCCTCCCGGCACCCGCTGGGTGCTGGAGGGAGCTTGGGGAGGCGCTGGGGCTGTTTTGGGGTGGTCCCGAAGCTCGAGGGCTCATCCCCGGTGTTCACCCCGTTGTTTTCCCCTCCCCAGCACGCCGACGGTACCTTCTGCGTGAAGCCACTCAAGCAGAAGCAAGTGGTGAGTGCGCCGCGTCCCCAGGGCGCAGCGGGGACCCCAGGGCGCAGCGGGGACCCCAGGGGGCCACCTCCCCATCCTCCTGGCACCGTTGCAGGTGGACGGGGTGAGCTACCTGCTGCAGGAGATCTACGGCATCGAGAACAAGTACAACACGCAGGACTCCAAGGTAGGCGCCTGATGGGTGCGTCCAAAACCTCCCTGGACCCGTCCCCGTCCCCCTCCGCTCCCCAAAGCCCCCGCTCGTGTCGTTCCCATGGGACAGGGGTCACCCGGGGTGAGTGGTAGAGGGGTGGGGGGACAGAGGAGCTGCCGGAGGCTGCAAGCTGAAGGCTTTGTCCCCTCGGAGGCTTTGTCCCCGTGTCCCCACCTTTTGTGGTGTCCTGGGAGGGCGGTGGGGCTCGTGCCGGGGATATGGGGCCGAGCAGGCCGCGGTGTCTCCTCCGGGCAGGTGGCGGAGGACGAGGTGAGCGATAACAGCGCCTGAGTGCGTCGTCTGCCTGTCCGACGTCCGCGACACCCTCATCCTGCCCTGCCGCCACCTCTGCCTCTGCAACACGTGCGCCGACACCCTGCGCTACCAGGCCAACAACTGCCCCATCTGCAGGCTGCGTAAGGGGGGGGGGGGCGGCAGATCCCAAATCCCCCCCCTTTTGGGGTCCTTCAGCCCCGGGGAGAGCCTCGGCGATGCGCAAGGCTGGGTGCTGCAGGACCCTCCTAAAAAAATGGGGTTTGGGGTTTTATTGGGGTGCGCCAGGCACGGTTTCCAGCCCGCCCTTCCTCCTTGCCTTTTTTTTTTTTTTGCCCCCAGCTTTCCGAGCCTTGCTGCAAATCCGAGCCATGAGGAAGAAGCTGGGGCCCCTCTCGCCCACCAGCTTCAACCCCATCATCGCCTCGCAGACCTCCGACTCCGAGGAGCACTCGGTCAGCAGTTTGGGGGGGGGTCTTGGGAGCCTCGTTGGGGTGGGGACGGACACCCCTTGTGGGTTTAAAAAAAAAAAAAAAATCACAAAAAGGCAAGCTGGAAATTGGGGAGGGAAGGGAAAAAATTGGGAGGAAGCATTGCCCACGGTGCATCCTCTTCGGTGCACAAATTTGGGGCTTTCGTGGGTGTGGAGGGTTTGTCCCAGCAAAAAGGTGCATGGAAAGGGGGCAAGAAGGAGCACGGGGGGGGGGTCCTCACCCCGTCTCCCCCTCCCCAGTCCTCGGAGAACATCCCCCCTGGCTACGAGGTGGTGTCGCTGCTGGAGGCCCTCAACGGGCCGCTGACGCCCTCGCCGGGCGCGGTGCGGCTGCGGGCGCTGGGGGACGCGGCCCCCCCCGGCACGGGGCCGCTGCCCCCCTACTGGCAGCGAGGGGCGCCTGCCCCCCCTGCGCGCCCTCTCGCCCCTCGAGCGCCTGTCGGACTGCGCCCCGCCGGGGCTCAAGCTGAAGAAAAGCGTCTCCAAGTGAGTGCCCACCCCCAAAACGGCACCGGGTAGGGGTCCCCAGGGTGGGGGTCGCTGGTTCCTGAACCCCCCCCCCTCCCCTAAATTCCCTGCAGGTCGGGCTCGCAGAACTCCTCCGTGCTGCCCGAGGAGGAGGAGGAGAAGTCGTGCACCGAGTCGGAGCTGAGGGAGCACCAGGAGGAAATCTCCTGCCCGGCTGGAGGAGGTGAGGGCTTGCCGTGGCTGCGGTGAGCTGGTGAGGATGTTCTGGGGGGGGGGGGACACGGGGTTTTGGGGGTCTCAAGCAGCCTCTCAGGGAATACAGGGTCTGGATGGGGACTTGTGGATGGGGACTTCCCCTCCTGGGTGTGCTGTGGATGAAGACCCAGGGGATCTGGATGCACGCCGGGTGCTGCCCAAGGGGCAAGAGGCCCCAGCCCTGCCCCAAACGCCCCCATCCCGCCCTCCCCACGAGGATTTTTCCCTCCAGCCCCCCCTCCCTTCTCCCAGGAGTGCGGCGTCACCCCGGAGAGCGAGAACCTCACCCTGTCCTCGTCGGGTGCCATCGACCAGTCCTCGTGCACCGGCACCCCTCTCTCCTCCACCATCTCCTCTCCAGAAGGTGCGGCCGCCGGAGACCCCCCCCCTTTGCAATTCCCAGCTCCTCCTCGTTAGCCCTGCCGCTAATTACCCGCTGCCGTGCTCCCCGCAGAGCCCGTCAGCAGCAGCCTGGCCCAGTCCGTCATGTCCATGGCGTCCTCGCAGAGCCAGCACTCGCAGCTCAGCACCGACACCGTCTCCTCCATGTCCGGCTCCTACGTGGCCCCCGGCACGGAGGAGGAAGGGGACACGCTGCCCTCGCCCGCCGCCGCCACCGCCTCCGACGGAGAGGTAGGGGGGGGCCAGCAGCTCCCCGAGATGGGGTGGGAGGGGACCCCTCCAAACCCATCACCGCCACGCTTTGGTGGGGGTTTTTAATCATTTTTTTCCCCTCTTTTTTTTTTTGCTTTTTTTTGCAGTCGACGCCTGTGGAGTCCCTGGATATAAACTTCGTCAGCATCTCGGCCGAGGAGCACGACGCCGAGGTACCGTGTGGCACGGGGGAGGCGGCGCCCCCAGCGCCGTGGGGGACCCCGGTTGTGCCCAGTTTTGGGCTGTGCATCCCCAGTGTGCTGAGGGCTCTTCCCCGGGGCCACAGTGGGGCAGCGGGGCCGTTCCCCGCAGCAGTTGGAGGTGCCACATCTGGGCTCATCCTCCCCAAAACCCCGGGGCCGGGGGACGTTGCCCAAAAGTGCCGTGGGCACGTGCAGGGCTCAGCGCTGCCTCTCTGTGCCGCAGGGCAACGCCGTGCTGGAGGACGAGGACGCGTCGCCCACGCTGGATGATGGTAAAAGGCCCGGATCGCTGCTGTCCTGTGTCCCCCCCCCCTTTTGGTTCGGTGTCACCGGGGGTGGCTGATGCCCTGCTGTCCCCTGGCTGCCCCGGGGAAAGCGCCGGGGGTCTCAGGCGGCACCGGGGCTGGGGATGAATCCGTCATGGGTTGGACACCGGGGAGATGGGGACAGCCATGGTGGCTGTGGGGACACCGGGGCACGCAGCAGGTGATGAGCGGTGCTCGGGGTCTGAGTCCCTGCTGGGGAGCAGGAGGCAGGGTGCTGCACGGGGGGGTCCCCAGAGGGCTCCCCTGGGGCGATGCTCTGCTGCTGGCCGCGTCCTGCTGCCCTGCCACGGGACGCAGCCGGAGCCATTTCCACAGGGGATGAGTGGGAAAGAGGCTCCACGGTGTTTTTTTTTCATTGTTTTCTCCCCCCTCCGCCACGAAGGTCTCTTTACATCTCTGCAAACCTCTCCCTGCGCTCTCCCCACGTTGGTTTCCGTAGGGCGGGGGTGTGAGGCTGTTCCCCTTGGGCTGTTTTCCTCTTTCTCTTTTTTTTCCCCTGTCCCTGGTGTGCTTTCTCAAGCCGCCACGTGCGCACTGAGCGCTCCCCCTGCCTCCTGCCAGGCACTCAGATAGCCGAGGAAAGGGGCTGCCACCCCCGTGCCGCCAGCTGCCAGGCGGCTTGGGTTTCTTTAGGGGACAGGGAGGCCCGCGGTGCGTCCCCTCCCGTGCTCTCAAGTCTCTAAATAATAAAAAAGCCCCGAGCCTCTCCCCCTCTGTCCCACCCGGACGGTCAGCCCAGCTGGAGAGCAGGAGCCAGGCTTGGGGCCGTTCCCCAGAACCGGGTTTTTGTCGCCAAAAAGAGCACAGGGTGCTGCCAGCCCCGTGGGGAGCCTCCTGCTCGTGGTGAGGAGCGAGCGGGGGCCGTTCCTGGCATCCCCTGTCCCCCCCCGAGGCCAGGAGCACCTTTCCTTCATGGGGAGCTCAGGTCCTGCTGGCTCAAACCCCGCTGAAACGAGGTGGTGCGTGTGCGGGGGGGTCACCCCTCTCACTCCCCCCCAAAAAAAAACCTACACAACACCAAACAAACCCTCCACCCCCGTGCAAAGCTTGGCTACGGCTTCTGCCGCCCCACGTGACCGTCGCTGCCTCCTCCCGGCATCCCCCCACCCGCGCTGCTGGTGCCCGAGGGAGGTGCCCCCGCGGACCCCCCCGGCACAAGGGAAAGGAGCAGCTCGGACCGTGCCCCCCCCACCTTGCGCCCAGCCCAGGCGTTATTGTCCTGCTCGCGGCCCTCTCCGCTCTTTTCCTGGTTTGCAAGCAAGATTTTTTTTTTTATTTTATTTTAAAGGGGGTGGGGAGAGGAAAACCCCCCCGAAGCCCCCCCCTCCCGAGGCTGCACGCCCCCCTGGCTAACTGCTTTAACTCCCTTCCAGGCCGGAGGACGGGCGCGTTCCTCGGTCTGAGGTGTGCCAATAACAATGACGTGGGCATCGCACGGGTGAAAGCGCTGGACAATAAGCTGTGCTCTGAGGCCCGCTTACCTGGTGAGTGGCCGCCTGCTGAACATGAACTCGGGGCTGGGGGGGGGTGCTGCCACTCCTCCCCGCATCGCCCCTGCCCCTTCAGGTCCCCCCCTTTTCCCCTTCTCACCCGCCCCATCCTCATCCCTCTCCATCCCCAGCCCCACACCACGTCCTGCCGTGGGGATGAGCACCGGGCACGTGCCCCCCAACCCCCCCCGGCCCTATATCCAGGAGTCCTCCTGGTGTATTTGGTAGCCCTGGTGTATTTGGTGATATTTTGGGTCAGGACGGGAGCCAGAGATGCTGCAGCCTTGGCCCTGTAGGGTCAGACACCAGGCGGGGGCTGCCTGCGTCCCCCTCCTCTTCCTCCAGACGAGGATCTTGGGGTCCCAATGCCCCAAATTCTCCTCCCTCTCCTCCATCTCTTCCCACCCTTTCTCCCCCCTCCTTCTGCCTTTCTTCTGTTTCCTCCCCCCCTCTCTCTCCATCCTTTTTTTTTTTTTCCTCCTCTTCCTCCCGTCCCGAGGCCCCTCCATCCACCTGGAAGTTCATGTTCACTCCGTGCCAACACGGTTTTCCCAGCCCCTGCTTGTGCCCCCCTCCCTGCCCGGAGCTGCGGAGAGGTGACAAATGTATTGGTGACGGGGGGGGGTTGGGGTGAGGGCAGGGGACCTGCATCCTCACCATCAGCCCTGGGGGGGACAAAAACTGGGGGCAAAAAAAGCCAAAAAGGAGCCCTCTGTGCACATGCAGAGCTCTCGCTCAGCTCTTTGTCAATACATTTGTGGACTGAGCTGAAAGCAACTCCCCCCCCCTCCAGCCTTTCCCCTTCGGCACAAGCTGCGGTGGGCGCTTGGAGAGCTGGGCTGGGGGCTGAAAGCACCCGGACCCCCCCCTCCGGGTTCCTTTCTCCCCCTCTTTCCCCTCTGGGCAAGCTTCGCCCCCCCCGGCTGCCCTGTTCCCGGTGGTTTTCTGCTCTGGGGAACCACGGCGAGGCTGCGGCGGAGGAACAGGAGCGTGCCCCAGCTCCCCGACCCCCCCCCGGCACCAGCCAGGGGCTGGCAGCGAAGGATGCGGCCTCCATCCTTTGCCCCCCCTGCACTTATCCGTGTGCCCGGCGGCTGCGCTGCTTGCCACCCCCACCAGGAAAATTGGGGAGGGGGCTGTGGGTGCCTGGCCTGCGGGGGGAGAGCACGGCTGGAGGGTGCGCGGGGGCTCTGCGCTGGAAGGGTCGGAGAGGTGCGAGGAGCTCCCAGCCACGATTTAAGGTTCTTTTTGGTGGTGCTGGGCTGCGATCCACGGGGCTGCACCGCTGCCGGGGGGGTGGAGGAGGTGGAAAGGTGGAAATTTGCAGCGGGGAGCTGGGGCCGGAGCTTCCCACCCGGCTCTTACAGGTTCAGGTGTGACCGCGGCCACGAGGCAGGCACAAACAGCGAGGGTCTCCACTTTGGGGCCACGTGCTGGTGTCCTGAATGCTTAACATCACCTCAACCAGTTTGTTTTTTTAAAATATTTCTCCCCTGGTTCCTCCTGAGGGGACGTTTAGCCGTGGTTAGACCCACGGGCTGGTTTTTGCTCCCTCTGTAGCGAGGGAAGGCGCAGGATGTGCTTTGTCAGCGTGGAGACGTCTGTGCAGCCCTAGCAGTGCTCTGAAAGCTCCCCAGATTTCAATCCGGGGGGAGGATGGTTGGGGAGGAGCTGACAAAACCCAATCCTGGGGATTTAGGGCACAGGGCTTCAGGGAAACCCCCAGACCCATCCTCAGGTGGGTTCCCAGAGCCCCAGGGGTGTGCGGGGGCTTGCAGGGGGCCGAGCAGCCTCTGGGCACTGCCTCTCCGAGAGGCTGGAAAGGGGCAGGCACGTGCTGGAAATACCAGCAGCAAGGTGGGGAGCCTGCGGAGGCAGCCCCGAGAAGAGCTGAAATCCCCCAGGAGCATTTGGTGGTGTGGATTATCCAGGCTGTGAGCTGGGCGAGCCATGCGGCTTCCACCTCGAGGATCTTTGCAGGATGGGGGGAGCCAGCCGGCCCTGCCTCCCCCAGGGAAGGAGCTGTGTGTGTGTGTGTGTGTGTGCACGTGGCCGTGTCCCCACGTCCTGCCCCGAGCCTCGGGAGCCTTTCCAGGACACCCTGGCTGTGCGTAAAGGCCCCGTGGCACTGCAGCGACGTAGGCAATGCCGAGCTGTAAATGTGATGTGTGTGTGTGGGGGGGGGTCCTGTTTAATTCCCCAGCCCCTCTGGGACCCGCACACTTCACTCGCCTCCCTCTCCAGCCTGAGCTCGCTGTGAGAAGCCCCTCGAAGTGACAGCTGTCCCCTTCCATACATCACACAGCGAGCTTTTCCTTGCTCCCTCTGAAAAAAACAAAAAAAAAACCTCAGCGCTCGCCCTCAGCCCCCGAGGTGCCCCCGTGCAGCCCCCAGGGCTCAGAGCTGCCCTGGGCACGGGGCTGAACCTCACCGGGGGGAGCACGTCGGGATGTTTTGGGGGCTCAGCCCCTGCCAGCACTGTGCGAGGACCGTGGATAACCCCCGGGGCTCACCACCTGCCTTCTGCTCTCTCCCCGCCACGCAGCCGCGGTTCCGGACTCCTGCCCCATAGACATTGAGGAATAGGTAGGAGCCCCGCAGAGCCCGCGCTCCCCAATTTCTGGTGGCTCCCCAATTTCTGGTGGCTCCCCAGTTTCTGGTGGCCCCCACGCGGTCCTGGGTGAGGTCCCCGTGCGCCTACAGGGCCGCAGGGGGTCTGCTTTGGGTCCCCTCCCCGTGCATGGTGGGGGCAGAGGTGACCCCCTTCGGTTTGGGTTGGTAAAACCCCCTCTCCCAAGCCATTTCCGATGGGGGGGACATGACCTGGGTGTGCAGCACGTGGGGTGGGGGCTGTGAGCACTTCTCCCTCCTCTCGGGGAGGGCGCAGAGCCCGGCGCCCCGGCCCCATCCTGCACAGCACCGGGGACCCCGCTCCCAGCCCCAGCGGGCTGAGGCCGGAGCAGTTTGTGTTGCCCAAAAGCCCTCAAATAACAGGTAAAAAGCTCAAATTTGGGGTGACCTGGTGGTGCTGGAAGGGATCCCCCTGCCAGAGGTGATATTTTGGCACCGGAGCAGAGATTTGGGGTTTCCCAGCTCAGCTGCCCAAATGGGCAGCCCCAAGTGGCACCGTGCCCCCCCCACACCCCCAGCACGGAGAGCCCCTGATCCCCTGGGGGTGTTCGGGTACAGCTCCGTGTGCTTGACCCCAAACCCCCCTCCCGCAGCCCCTAACCCCCCGTTTTTCTCCCCCAGGCCCGGAGGCAGCCAACACCAACGTGCGGCAGCCATGGCAGCGCTGCCCGTGCCAGGGCTCAGCCCGGGGGGGGGCACGCACCCCCCCACCACACGCAGAGGGACCCAGGCACCACCACCTCCACCCCTGGGCTGTAGCGGAACCGATTATTTTGGAAAGAAAAGACGATGACCTCGTATTTCCCGCCCTGTCCCGCTGGAAGGACGGGGTGGCCGCAGCTGGGAGCGCAGGGGGGGGGGGGGGCAAGAGCTGTGTCACCTCGCAGCCCCCCCGTCACCACCTTGCTGTCCAGGTCCCCCTCCTGCCCCACACGTGGGGATGGGGTCACCCTAAAAAGAGGCTCCTGGGGCACGGCCGCAGGGGGACGATGGCAGGAGGGTGCCCAAGGGGTGAGGACAAGTGGCGGCAGTGACATCCTCAGTGCACGAGCCGGTGACCTCTGTGGGGGGCTGGCCCCCCCCTGGTTTGGTGGCCCGTCCCCGTGCCGTGGGACGTCCCCACCGGTGCACTGGCGGTGATGGCACTGCCCCTCCCCGGCCCCCCGCACCCCCCTTTTCTCCTCCCGGGCAGCATGCAAGCTCCGGGAGGTGGCTTGTCCCCAGGGCTGGAGGGGGGGTGGCAGGGACCCAGTCCCCGTTGTCACCAGCGTCCCGGGACACCCCCAGTTTACCCTCACCGTCTTCCGCCCCGCTGCGAGCTCGGGGCTCGGGGCTGTGCCCTCTCTCTGGAACAAGTGCCAAAAATCGTCACCCCTTTCCCCCCCCCTCCTGCTCTGCGTGTCCCTTGCACTTGGTAGCAGGGGCTGGACGAGGCTGGGAGGGCTGCCCCCCACCCCTCCATCCCCACCCCTCCATCCCCATCCCTCCGGCACTGGGCTGGCAGCGTTAGTGGGGTTTGCTCAGGGGGACGGGCACTCAAGGACCCGTGGGGCAGGGCTGCAGCCCCAGACCTCATGGGGCCGCTGGCTCCGCGCTGAGGAGCACCAGGGTCCATAAAACCCCCCCTCGGGGACCAGCACCCCACAACGCAGGGAGCTTTGCCCCTCTCCTTTCAGGAGGAAACCGCACTTCAGAGCTACGTTAGGGCAAAAAGGTGGGTTCTGGAAGGGAAAAAAAAAAGCCCTTTAGGGGTGTTCCTGCCCCCTGGCTGTCCGGACGCTTAGGGAAAATGAGGGAGATGCTCCGGGTGTCCCCCTTTCCTCACAGGGCAGCCCCCCCCTGTTCCAGCCATGCACCCATCAGGGCTTGAAGGAAGGAAACCAGACTGCTGCTTACGGCTCTGCTTCGAGCATGTTTCGGGTTTTCGGAGTATGTTTAATAAAGGGAATCTTATGTCGACAAGGCGTCCCGAATCACTTTGGGGCTGTGGGGCGAGCACAAGCGGGGTGCTTGGGGCTCAGGGGGGGCAAGCCCTTCTCCATCACCCCAATACCACCCCGCAATCAGCCCAGCTGCTTCAAATGTCCCTACAAATGTCCTCAGCACCCCCCCGACCCCAATTTCCTGACCTCCTCCAAGCTCTGTCAGCCTGGCTGGGCTGGAGAAGGCACAAAACACAAACCCCATAGGGGAAGAGACGGGGCTGGTGGCTTTGGGGTGGGCGAGGGCATGGCCAGAGGGACCCTCCCTGGAGGGGAAGGGGGAGATGGGGGCGCCGAGAGCAGGGTGAGGGGTCCCGCCAGGGGATGGGATGGGAGAATCCAGCCCTAAAATGCGTCCCCATGGGGCCGCTCAGGGAACCCCACAGTGGGCTAAGGGCCGGCTGCCCCCCGCTCTTGCTGCCTTGGGAGGGTTTTTTTGCAGGGGAAGGTCCCGCTGTGGAGAGAGCTGCTGTAAAAGGGTAGAAACCAGCCGGATTTGGGGCTCTTTCTGGGATTGGGCTGTAAAAAAATGGCAATGAGCCCTTCCAGAAGGGCAGCCCCTTCCCCTGTGGGGCAGGGTAATGCATGGGGCTTAATCCTCCCCCAACCAGTCCTGTGCTAAAGGACAGCCTTTGGGGTGCTGTGGGGGGTCAGGGGCACCTGTAGGGTGTTAATCACGTTAATTAATTAAGGGCAGAGCCCATCCTGTAAGGGGGAATCTGGCAGCCCCCCGTTCCCCTAAAGCTTGTTCTTAGGGCACGGGCGAGGAGGAAAGCGCTGGGTTTACCCTCTCTGGGGACACAGATGGGAAGGAGAGGGCTGGGTTCGCCCCACACAGACCCCGCAGAGGGCTGGGGCACGGGGTTGAGGTTTTGGGGTGCTTGTGGTGCTTTTGGGGACCCGATTTGACCGTTTGGGACCCTATTTGACTGTTTGAGGCCCCATTTGTCTGTTTGGGTCCCCATTTGCCCGTGCGAGGCCCCATTCGGACCCCAAACCGTGCCCCACACCCCCCTTTTGTGGGGGCTCCCCCCCAGACCCCAAAACCCCCGGATTTGAGCCCAAACCCCTCAGGGCCGCCCCCTCCCCCTCAGGGCCGCGGGCTCCCCCCCCTCCCCTCCCTCCATCTCCATGGCAACGCGGGAGCCAATGGCGGGGCGCGAAGCTGTTTACGGGGCGTGGCGTCGCCATGGCAACGCGCGAAGCCTCCCGGAGCCGCTATTTAATGGCCGCCCCGCGGCCGCCGGCAAATCACGGCGGGCAGCGCCCGGGGCGTCATTTGCCCAAAAACGGGCGAAATTAAACCAAAATTAACCCCCGCCGCCACCCGCACGCCTTTCTCCGGCTGCCCCTAGGTCCGGGGGTGCTTGGTTGGTTTTTTTTTTGCACCTCTTTTTTTTTTTTTTTCTATTTTTTTCCTATTTTTAAAATATTTTTAAGTATTTTTTATAATTTTTTTGATTTTTTAATTTTTTTTCTTTAAATTCCAGAAGTTTCCTGCGCGCTCTCGTCAAGTTTGGGAGCGGGGGGACGTCGCTGGGACGGGGTAAGGTGGGTATTTTGGGGTGGGTGCGGGACGGGCCCGTGGGGTGGCAGCGCCGAGGGGATCCCAAAACTGCGGCTTTTGGGGACGGCTCATTTTGGGGTGGGACGTTTATTTTCCATTATTATTCCCCCTCACCCTCCCCGAAGTGAAGGGCTTTGGGATTTCCCCTCCCGGAGTTTGCAGGGCCAGGCCGCAGGACGCAGGGAGGGGGCATCCCAAAGGGCTCTCCCTGCCCTGAGCCCCTTTTTGGGGGTATAATCCTGGTTTTGGGGAGCGGGACGGGGTTTTTGGGTCCCCCCCCAGCTGTTACAGCCGCTCCGTTTGAACGGTGGAACTCGGAACCCGCAGCTCCAACCCCCACGGGTGCTGTCCCCACAGGGCTCGGGGGCTCTCTGGCGGCCCTACAGCCGGGCTGGGGGGCTGGACACCGACCCCACAACCATTACCCCATCCTTTCCCCCCCCCTGCTGGCCCTAAGGGTGTTTTTGGGGTGGGTTCGCGTTCCCTGCAGGCGATTTTAGGGGTGTGAGGTGGAGGGAACAGCAAACTGCCGAGGGAAGTCGGTAGCAGGGGGGAGCTTGAAGGGGGCTTAGCAGCACTTAGGGTGCTGAGGTTTTAGGTTTTGGTCCCATTAGGGCAAAGTGGGACAAAAAGGGGACAAAAAGGGTGGGTGAGCCCTTGGGGAGAATCATCCCTGTCCCTTGGGGGGAAGCATCCTCATTTTGTGGGACTGCAAAGCTGGGTTGTGTTTGGTCGTGGGGATTTTTTTGTTGTTTTTTGGGGGGTTTGTTTCCTTATTTTCCCATTTTCCCCTGGCCTGGTGGGCAGCACCGGTACACGGGGTCTGAGAGCTGGCAGGGTGCAACCCTTTAACGGAATTCCCCCAGAATTCAGGGCTCCCCTAACCCCCAGCAGGGAGGGAGCCATCACGCATCCCCCCCTTGGGGGCCGGCTATCACCCTCGGGGGGCTTGACCCAACCCGTTCCCTTTATAGGATCGGCCCCGTCCCTTCCCTCGGCCGCTCCCCGTGGATGCTGGAGCTGTCGGGGCGCCCGGGCATGGCTGAGGGGTGGCTGAGCCTGCGGGTGGCCGACATCCGAGGCCAGGAAGGCGGCGGCATGGGCGACTCGAGCGACCTGGACGACAGCCTGACCAGCCTGCAGTGGCTGCAGGAATTCTCCATCATCAACGCCAACTTGGGCAAATCGTCCTCGTGCCCCAGCGGCCCCGACCCTCACGATTATCACCACCTCCCCGGTTTCGCCGCCCCCTGCTCGCCCCTGGCCGCCGACCCGGCTTGTATGGGGATGCCCCACACCCCCGGTAAGCCCACCTCGTCTTCCACCTCGCGGACGGCCCCCCCGGTTGGGGGCGTGCAGCCCCCCGCTGAGGATATCGACTATAAGACCAACCCCCACGTCAAGCCGCCCTACTCCTACGCCACCCTCATCTGTATGGCCATGGAGGCCAGCAAGAAGAGCAAAATCACCCTCTCGGCCATCTACAAGTGGATTACCGATAATTTCTGCTATTTCCGACACGCCGACCCCACCTGGCAGGTGGGTGCCTCGAGGGGGGTCCTGCAGACCCCATTTGGGGGGTGCTGGGTGTGTGGGGTGAAGGCGCTGGGGATAATCCTCGGTGTAAAGGGGAGCTTGCTCCTGGGGAGGTTGTGCTTAGCTCAGGTGTTCCCGGGGATGGAGACACCCCAAATTCCAGCCCCGTGCTTGGAGGGGGAGGAAGGATGGAGAGAAGGAGCCCCGGGCTCGGGCACGCAGGGATGCTGCAGCCACGAGGGCGGCAGAGGGAAGGAGCCATTACGGGGCAGAGCCCAGGGCCATTTTAGGATCGGGGAGGCGCGTGCGAGGCGTCTGCCCTCAGCTCCACCTTTCGGGGGCCCTGGTGGCTCCCCTCGGGGCTTGGCACGTGGGAAATCGCTGAATCAAGCGTCCCCGAGGAGAGGGATGGAGGTGCTGCTTGCTGGGCAAATCCCTCGCTGGGGAGGCTTAGGGGAGAAACGCCGCCGCGGGTGTTGGAGGCCCCATCGCTGTGCTGAGCTGGGGAGGCCTCGGGGGGAGGCTGCTGGCCCCCAGCTTGCACAAACCCGTCCCCAGGGGTAGGGGACAGCGGGTGCTGAGCTGGGCAGCACGAAGCAAAACCGCTGCAGACCCCCCCCCAGCCACCTTCTCCTCCGGCAGGAGGCTCTCCAGAATCCCAAAAACCCATCCCAAAGAAGGGAGCCCCCATCCTTCTTTGGGGCCACGTGGGACCTGCATCCTCCCTTAGGATCTGGACCCCCTGGGTTGCAAAGCAAAAAGTCCCTGATGGCATTGCAGGGGTTGGGGCACAGCCACGGGCTGCACGGGGACCCTTGTCCCCATGCTGTCCCCAGGGGGACCCCAGGGACAGGGGGCACAGGGTTCCAGCAACCAGGAGCCCTCGGGGACGACCACTTTACTGGTGGGTCTGGAAACCTTTTGGGGGGAGGAGTGGTGTGCCAGCATGTTGGCTTTCTCCTGCGAACTCACGGCCGGCTAATCACCGTGTTTTTAATTAAATGTGTTTATTAAAAAAAGAGAAAAAAGCAGGGTTTTCAATCCCTCTCTGCAGACATGCAGGGGGCTCACGGGATTGTTGCAGGGAGGAATGATAAATATGTTAACTGGCTGGGGAATAGCGAAGGGCAGCCCAGGCTGAATGAAATTTGGGGAGGGGAGAGGAGACAGCAGAGAATTCAGCTTGCAAGGCTCTGACCCTTGTAAAATTTCATTAAACTGTAAACTTGGAATCGCCGCAGCCTGCAACGTTCGCAGGGACGTCTGCGGTTCCTGCTTCTTCTTTCCTTTTTTTTTTTTCCCTTTTCTTTTTTTTTTTTTTTTTTCCTTCCTTTTTTCTTTCTGAGGCTGTGTTCTCATCCACTATCCCAATTCCCGTATGTGAAGACAGCCTGGAAAGGTCATGCCACCCGTACTCCGGGGGGAGATGGATCTATTCCTGTGGGAGCTGAGTGCTTTGGAGAGGAGCCAACGCACCCGAGGAGCTTCAGCCCAGAGCAGGGTTTTGTTGTGTGTGTGTGCGTGTTTTTCAACAGCTCTGAGCATTCAAGCCTTGTTTTTTCCTACTCGGCACTACGGATTATGGATGAATAAGCATAAAGATATCCAGGCAACATTTAAAAAAAAAAAGAGAACCCAACCCTCTACCATATCCAATCTCTTAATACAGTCTTGGCTTTGTGGAGTCCGACGCTGTGTTATTTACCCAATAACTGAGTTTCCTTTCTGATTATTCACATCACTCTAGGCACATTCAGGGCTTCAGAACAGCTCGATGGGAGCAGAAACTCCTCTTTTTTGTCTTTTTTTTTTTTTTTTTTTTCTCTCCCTCCAGCTACTCTGAGCCGTGGCTGATGAAGATGTGGCGACTTCACACCAGGCTTCCTGGCCCAGGAGGCACCTCTGGGGGCAGATAGCCCGGGCGAGCTCCGGCTGTGCACGGGGCTGCAGTGGGATAGCTGAGGGCCCCTTTGGCTTCACCCAGCTCCTTTGTGTCAGCCTGGCCGCAGGGAGGCACGGTGGCTGGTTTGGGGAGAAATATTCCCCCCTAGCTGCTAGCAATCAGCTCGGGAGAACTGGGGGATGTGTGGAAGGATGGTGCTGTGCCCCACGGTGCTGCCACACGTCGCCTCTTGCAATGTGGCTGTGGCCACGGCGGTGTGAAGGCTTCCTCCTTATCTGCTGTGCAGGACCTGAGCTCCTGCAGCAGGTCTGGCTGGTTTCTCCCAGTGCCCTGCATCATCCAAAGCCCCATGGCCCAGGTGCACAGCCAAGGAGAGCTCCCCAAACGCTCCCCGTTGGTTGGCAAGTCCTAGCTCGAACCCTTAACTCCAGCTGCTTCTGGATGAGAGGCAGGAAAACTGCACTGGTGGCCTGGGGCAGGGGAGTTTCTGCTGGGCACGTAGCCTGGGATGCTTTCACGTTGCCATTTCTGCCTTCTTTTCTCCCCAAAGCGTGCCTTCCCACCCGGCTCCCCAGCGGGTAGGTGCTGCGGCAGGAGGCAGGCGCTCAACCCCTCTCTCTCTTCTCTTTTGGGTCTAGAACTCCATCCGGCACAACCTCTCCTTGAACAAGTGCTTCATCAAGGTGCCTCGGGAGAAGGACGAGCCAGGGAAAGGCGGCTTTTGGAAGATCGACCCCCAGTACGCCGACCGGCTGATGAACGGCGCCTTCAAGAAACGGAGGATGCCCCCGGTGCAGATCCACCCGGCCTTCACCAGCAGAGCCCAGCAAGAAACCCGCTGCGGCACCGGCCCCGTGGCTTCCACCTGGACCAATGGCAACGTCCTCAACGTCAACGTGGAGTCCCAGCAGCTGCTGAAGGAGTTTGAAGAAGTCACCGGCGACCAGAACTGGAACCCGGCGGATGGGAAGGCGAGCCGCAAGCGCAAGCAGCCCCTGCCCAAGCGTACGGCCAAGTTGTCTCGGCTCTCCAACCCTGCCTTGCTCACCCAGGAGGAGCAGACCGAGCTGGGGTCGCTGAAGGGCGATTTTGACTGGGAGGCCATCTTCGACACCAACTTGAACGGAGACTTCTCCACTTTCGAGGACCTGGAGCTCACGCCTCCCATCAGCCCCATCAGGCGCGACGTGGACTTGACGGTGCAGGGGCGCCACATCGACTGTCCCCAGGATTGGTGCACCACCACCGGGCACGAGCAGGTCCTCAGCGAATCCAGCCAGAACAACCTGGACTTTGACGAGACCTTCATGGCCACTTCTTTCCTGCAGCACCCCTGGGATGAAGGCAGGAACGATTACCTCTCTGGCTCGGTCGGCGTGGAGCAGTTGTTTGAGCTCAGCGACACCTCTTTGGCTGCAGACGTGAACGACTGGAGCAGTGTGGGATCCTTTTTATAAGCGGCCACCTGGAGGACTCAGCCAAGCCCACAGAGACCTTAGCAGGGTGCTCCCCCTGTGCTGCTGGAACTTGCAAGGGGGGCAAGATTTTCGAGAGGCAGAGACATCCACAGTGACTTCTGTAGCTTCTTCGTAGGGTTATTTGCAGCCAGGCCGGCGGGGGGTGGGTGGCAAGGAGGGGTAGCGGGGGGGGGGGGGGAATGACACAAGAAGGCAGAAATCGCTTGAAATACTTTTAAAGGACACACCAGAAGCCTGTGGTCCATGAGTTCACTCAAGAAAGGGATATAGCAGTACTTATTTTTTTACTTTTTAAAGAAAGAAATGTGAATGACTTCTTTTTTCCGTGGAAATGGACACGGCACACACTCCTCCTGGGCTAAAGGAGAGCACCTGCTAAACGGATCCAAGAGAGGAGATTCCTGGCGGCTTAGGAACTCGATAGACTACGTGCAATTTCCTCACCCCTTCTTCTCTCCGTTTGTCTCTTTCTTTCTGTCCAGGGTAGTTTGTAGGTGTAAGGTGATAATTAGCTAGCAGGCAAATAGAGGTCCCTGTTGGATTCTCCAAGTTCAACCTCCCTCCTGAATTGTGCCTAGGGAAAAAGAAAAGGTCTGTAAAGTCAGATGCGAATCAGCAAATCTGTCTCTGTAGATGTTTTTATATAATCTATTATATATTATATATTCAAAGAAACCTATATTTTTAGCATTAGAATGTCTTTTCAGAGGGGATAGGGGAAATGCAGTTTGGGGGTTGTTTTGTATTTTTGCTGAGTACAAGCTCGCGTTCGTCACTCTGCAAACCAAGACCGCAGCGTCCCGCATGTCTGCTTCACACCGGGGAGGCTCCCTGCAGCGGCAATTTCGGTCAGGATCCAGGATTCGGCCACGGCAGGAGAGGAGCAGAGGGGACTTGGGTCGCTCCCAGAAGTGACTTTTATATTTTTTACACCCAAAATCCTCACCGCGGTTGCCCAAGGGTCTAGACCAGAATAAACCTTCCCTGTGTTTCAGCGTCACCGCTGTTCCCAGTGCCCGTGGAGGAGCTCCAGGCAAAGTTGAGACATGGGGGGAGCGGAGCCAAACTGTGCTGAAACTCGACTTGAAGCTCTCGGGAACTGGATTCTTCACCTTCCCTTCGCTGTAGGAGATTTGGGTGATGGTAGCTGCTAGGTAGGAGTAAGGAAAAGCTGTAGTGTTGGTGGTGTGTCTTAGACTTGCTGAAAAATGGAAGATTGCAACCAAAAAAAAAAAAAAAAGAAAATCTTTAACAAAAGCACTTAGGACTTTTGATGTGAGCAACCTAACTTAGCGGGAATATAGCTGTAGCATAAGAGTCAATAAACCAGCCTTAAAAATAAAATTAAAATCACCCTTGGAGTAATTTGCACTCAAATTTGCGCACACGGTGCTGCTTGAGGGGGCATCAGGCACCAAAGTTTGGAGCTGCAGTGATGGGAGCACCAGTCCTGCATGGGACAGGCTGGTGGCACCCCTGGATCCAGATGGGGGGGGTCTGCTGGGGGTTTCACCTGGCAGATTTCCCCCCAAGGCCTGACCCAATCACTCTGTGAGCCCGACAACTTCAGCTCATGGAAGCGGGGCTGGGGTTGGGGCCAGCAGCTGAAGCCCCCTGAGATGCCACCAACGAGCCTAGGGTGGGGGGCAAGGGCTGTGTCTCAGGGGGGCTTTGGGGGCAGTGTAGATGCATATACCAGTACTGGTGCTAGTTGTTATTTTTTTTTCATGTTTTCCTGCTTTTTTGGCCTCCAGACTGCTGCTGAAGAATTGCAAAGATACGTGTGTACTTTAACCATTTTTTCACTGAAAGTAATTTTAAGACTTTTTTTTTTTTTAAAAAAAAAAAAAAAAAAGAGAGAGAGAGAAGGGGGAAAAAAAAAAAGACTTTTGGTTCCTTGTTTTCCTCCAGCCCAGCCTGGCTCTGTCTGAGGCTCTCCTGTGAAGAAAAAGGGTATCTCATTGTCACAGCCCAGCCCAGTACCCCGTGAGAGCAGTGTGGGTGCCCTCAGCCCTGTCCATGGGAGCTCAGCAATTCCCCAGGGGGAAACTGAGGCACGATCCACCCGATGCATGGCACGTGTTACACACCATCTATGGGGCACAAGGGTGGCTGTGCCTGGTGTCCCAGGTGCTGAGAGCTGCCCTGGAGCATCCTTCCCTGCTCCTGGGGGGGACGGTGTGGGTGCCTGGCACTGTTTCTCTCCTGCTCGTGCCCTGTCCCCACCTCACCCTGCAGAAACACAAGCGGGTTGGGAGCCCTCCTGGGTGTGGGGCGGCGAGAGGAGCTGCACAAAAGCCTCAGGAATAGCTGAGCCCTCGTGAGACCAATTATGCCGAGGAGCTGTTGGGCTCTGCGAGGGCAGGGAAGCAAAGCAGCGGCAGCAAAGCGAGCCTGTGTGCGGGTGGGGAGCAGGAGGCTTGGGGAGGGCAATGGGGTGCCAGGCTGGCTCAGGGACCAGGGCTCAGTGTAATGCCAGGTGGGCTGGGGGTATCCATGCCCACATCCCTGGTGATCTGCTGGATCCCCAAGAGCAGGGCTGCCCGTTAGCTCGGCAGCGGTCACAGCTGCTCTCAATCCAGCCATTCTCAACCCAAAATAAAGGCTGGGCTCACTGCTGCAGGTGGCCTTAGCGTGTGCTGGAAGGTTGGGATGCAGCTCTCTGGATGAGGTAGGGTTGTCCTTGTACTTTGATGCCTTTGGGGGCTTCTAGGGGTAAATCTTGGCTATCCTTTCACCCTGGGAACCCCAAAAGGCAATGGGGAATTGGGGGCGGTCAAGCATTGGAATGGGCCCCGTGGGGAGGTGGTGGAGTCCCCATCTCCCCATCCCTGGGGGGATATTTAGGGGCTTGTGGATGTGGCACTAAGGGACATGACTTAGCAATGGGACTCAGGTGCTCAGGTTGATGGTTGGGTTTTGTGATCTCGGGGGTCTTTTCCAGCCTAGATGTCTCCCCGATTCTGTGCCTAAACCCCAGCAGTGGGGTTCCTCCTCTCCGTTCCCCTTTGGCAGCCATTTCCCCACACGAACGGGGTTAGCGGCAGTGCTGGGAAAAGCTGGCAGCCCCCTCACTTCTCTGCTTTGCTGTGTTTTACTGGCCACAACCACAAAGTTTCTGCTTCAACCCCCTGCAAAAAGCTGAGCCCTGTCGGGGGGGGGACAACCAACAAGAGATTTGTGCCAGGAAAAAACATTCCTCCCTGCCCAAGCCAGCCCAGGGCTGTAAAGCGAAAAAGGGCGAATATAAAGGAGGCACCAGGCGAGGCCTGGAACAACCTCGTTTTGTTCCGCGCCTGAAAGCAACACAACAAACTTGGACGTGGATGTCTTTGTTGTTTTTATTCCCCCCCCCTCACGATGAGGGGGTGGCTGGCGCTGGGGTTTCGGCAACAGGCCGGGGCCTAGGCCTGGGCCTGGGCTGTGGCGCGGCCACGCCGGGGGCACCGGGCTCGGCCTGCCCGGGCTTGCCGAGCTGGGAAGTGCCCGGTTCCTTCCTCCTGCCCCATCCCGGCAGTGTTGTGAAACCCACAGCGGCCATCCCGTTATTAGTTATCGCTCCCGTTCCCCCCCAGCCGTCCCCTCATCCGTCACCCTCCCCGGATGGGCAAACATTGACGCCTCCAACCAACCTCCCCGTTCGCAGAGGGGGGAAGAAATATCCACATAAGCCCTTCTTTTCTCTCCTTTTCTTGCCCCGTCTTTCTTTCTCCTCCATTGAGTGCAGGGCTGGCACGGAGCCATTCTGGCAACAGCCGGCTTTCACTTGCTAATCATCCCAAATATTGAAAATCAACGCCTAGAATAAACAGCTCAAAGATTGGGGCCATCTCTGCTCGGCTTGGAAATGCTAATCTCGCCGCCTTTTGTTTTCCTTGTGTGGGTTTGGTGCTGTTTTGGAGGAGGTCACAGCTCATGGTTTCTTCCCCTACCCCCAGATTTATTTTTATTATTATTATTTTCTCCTCATCGTGAAAAATTCAGCCCGCTTTCACTTCCCGGGCTGGGACGGGGCCGGAGCGGCGGGGGGGAGAAGGGGGAGGCAGGATGGAGGAGGGTAAAGGAATGGATTCGCCTTGCATAGCAATGAACAAACCTCCAAAGTTTTTGGGGAAAAAAGAAAAACCCAGGTTCCTAAACGTGCTCACGTGGGTGAGAGATCTCATGGGAACGGCTTTGGGCAGGGCTGGCAGGACCCTGAGTGGGACATGGGATGGGGATGGCAGCAGGGAAAATGGATCAGCCTGGTCCCAAGTCTGGGGACAGCTTGGGGACACTGGTTTTGGAGGGGTTTGTACCCAACGGGATGGAGGTGTTGGAGCAACAACCAGGCTGGCTGAATGCTGGGGAAGCTGTGAGGGGGTCGGACACAGTGTTTTTTTCCTGGAGGGTTTGGGCTGGATGCAAACACCTTCCTGCTCCAAGCTTCCCAGTCCGTGGTGTCCCCAGAGCTCTGAGAAATGCAGCTCGGAAAGCAGAGAGGGGCAAAGCCCCTTTTTTGCTCTTCTAGCCACGGCCTTGTGCTGCCTTTAGAGCCCAGCAGGACCTGTGGCACTCACACGGCTTGGACAACTGGCTCAGCAGCCATGGGGAAACTGAGGCAGGGCAAGGACATGAACCTGAACCCAAACCCCACTGTCGGGTACAAAGCCCCCAGTGGGGAAAGCAGAGCCCCCTGCAGCTCTGCCTCTGTGTTCATCGTGCCCACCCCAGTCCTGCTCCTCTTCCCTGCCCTGGAAGCTGCTTTAGGTCCCGTTGGGGTTTTGCAGGGGATGGGGCTCTGCTGGGGGCTGTTCCTACCCCAAAGCAACGCTTGGGCAGCACTTTGGGAACATGCTTCTGTCCTCGTATTTTCAGTCGTGTTGCACGGGGGGGGGGGTGCACCTGCCGGTGCCCCAGAGCCCCCCCCAGCAAACCTCCCCTCCATCACCCGCCTCCCTGCGTGCCCCAGGGTGCCTGGGAGGGTCAGGGGCTGCTGCCAGCAGCCGTTCCCCGCCGCAGGGCCAGCACAATGCTCCGGCAGGCTGGGGCTTGCCCTGCGGCGGGGGGAGCACCGCGCAACGGCCCCCGCGTGAGTGCTGTCACGAGGAGATGTGAGGCATGCTGCCCCTTCCTCCTCCTCCTCTTCTTCCTCTTCTTCTTCCCCGCTGTGCCCCCGACGTGTGCCCGGGTGGGTGGCTGCGTCCCCACGGGGCTCCTCCAGCCCAGCCCACGCTGTCCCCACGGGAAAGCAGGGGGGGACACATCCAGCACCCCCCCCCACGGCGGGGCTGAGCCGCAGGGAAGCGCCAGCCTCGCCTCCTCCTTTGGGAAACCACGTCACGCCGAGGTCGAAACTTGGCCGCTTGGCAAACAAGTGCTGGGGCCTCGGGGATTTCTTTACAAAGCCTTTGTTTATTTTTTATTTTTTTTTCCCCCTCTCCAGGTGATTTATTTCCAGGTTCGGAGCGTTAGGGTCATCCCACGTCCTGAGATTATTTTATTATTTTCAGGATGGCGAGACGCTTGTTTTAGAAACCCAAAGCAAACACCCTCCTTTGGTGTCTTTCCCTAGGGGATGGGCTTTAACCCCCCCACACCCCAAAAGTGGCAGAAGGGCAGGCAGGCTGCGGGCTCTGCACCCTGCGCACCTGGCTCACCCATGGGTGCTGCTGCAGGGGCAAGCAGGTGATTTTAGGGTCACTGTGGGGATAAGCCCCACACAGGCAGGGCTTACGGATGGGGCCGTGCTGGGCAGCATGGGGACGCTGGGTGCGGATCCCCTGGGATGCTCCCAGCCCGTGTGCAGGGCTGGAGGCAGGAGGATGCGGGGGCACCACGAGCAGTGGGCGTTAACCGAGAAATCGCCAAGAATTTGGCCTGGCAGCGTGCTGGTGGGCAGCGTGCCAGCCTGGCGGCCGAGGGAGGCATGGCTCCGCTCCCACATGGTGCTCGGTTTCCCTGTGCGTGGCGGGGAGAGGTGCCTGCCATCTGCCCGGGGAGCTCCGGCAGCTTTTTGGAGCTTTCCTGTGCTGTTGGGATGCTGGGGTGTGTGTGTGTGTGTGCGCGCCCAGCCCGTGTGGGTGCTGATTTCCAGCCGGGGAGAGCAGAACAGGAGGCAGCGGGGACACAGTGCTGCATCCCGCAGCTTTTGGTTCCGAGACACATTAACGAGCAGGAATGTGCAAACATCCAAAGGTCGGTGGCGAGGCAGCTGCCGCAGTCCCTGGGAAAGCAGCGGGCAAAGGCAGGACCCCGAGAGGGATGACAGAGGAGGGTCCCCTGGGTACGGGGCTCCTCCAACCCCCACCGATTGCTGTCCCCTTGGCGTGTCCGGGTGTCTCCTTGCCACCCTGGGGTCACCAAGCACATTCCTGCCAGGGGGACGGGTCCAGCTGCAGCCCCTCGCCTCCTCCCCAGCACATTGCCCACTGCCGACCCGCACGGCAAACACCCCCCTGCCTCCCCCAGCAACGTGGCCGAGAGAGAAAAATGAGCATTGTCCCCAGGCTGGCCCCAGCCCCTGGAACACGGTGCCTGCAGCTCCCTTGCTCTGGGGCTGATGCTCCTGGTGCGTGCACGGCTCCCTGCCCCAAAAGAAACCCCATAGGAAGCTCATCTCCTGATCGAAGGAGAGGAAAGGTTTGGGTGTGAGCGGGGTGGCATCGTGGTGGTCTCTGTGTGCCAGCCCTTGGTGCCCCGAGGGGTTTGGCTGGAGGAGGGGGGGCTGCGCCTTGTCCCACCCCCTCCCACAGCCCCTCATGGTGGGAGAACTCAGCAAACAGCGATGGGAGAACCTCATTAATCCTGAGCGTTCAGTTACAAAAAGCCCTTCAGAGCTGGCTATGCGGTTATCAGAGCACCAGGGAGGTTTTCCCAGCAGGACGTTAATTCCCTCGGCAAATAAACCCAGAGGGGGAGCCCAGCCTGTGTCTGCAGTGGGGCTGGGGCAGCGGGTGAGGACCTGGGGGACTTTTGGGGCCAGCCCTCAAGGGGCTGATCCCCACCACCCTGCTCCTGCAGTGAGCCGAGGAGCTCTGCTCCCTTCTTTTGCTTTATTTTTTTTTCAGGGACTTGGCATCAGCCAACTGCTCGAGCGCTGTTTTGGGGCTATCACTGCCGTGCTGCACCCTTCCCTTGGGGTAGCCCAGTCCTTCCCAGTGCCATACTGGATGGACTGGGGAGGCCAACACCAGTCCCTCTCCCATGTGGACCTGCTTTTCCAGCACGTTGAGCATCTCTAAGGCGTGTCACTGATCAAAGGGAAGCTGGTAGGGCTTGAGGTAACAGCGGGGAGGTGAAGTCCTTTGGGTTCACTTCCCTTGTCTCCCTTCAAGTTCACGGGCATCCTAAGAGTGGCGGTGCGTGCCCGGGTGCTGTCTGAACACGCTCATGCTCTCTTTTGGTGCCTCTCCCGTCCTAACCCCACCTGGAAGGGAAAGCCAGGGACTTCTCGGCCAGCTCCTGGCTTTTCTGGATGAAGATTAACCTGTCTAAAGATTAATCGCCTTTTCAATCTGGCTGACCCAAGTGGAGACGTAAGGGGCTGTGTCTGGGGAGGAGGCGATGGCAGCGCCACCAGGAGCGGTGTTCCCATGCGTCCCTGTGGCCCGGGTCACCCCGTGGGGGCATCTGGGACACCCCTCAGCCCACAATGAACATTTTGTAATTTTATGTTCATCCCGGCTCCTCCACGCTCTGCTCTCTCTCCTCTCTCACATCAAATGCAAAGCCCCTCGGGAGGCTCCTGGCCGCATTAACCTTGTTTTCCCCTCACCGCAGCATGGGGAGTGACAGGTCACTGCCACGTCCCCTCTGTCCCCTCCGTGCAGGAGCTGGATTAATCCCATCCGTGGGAAGAGCGTACGAGCATAATTCATTTTGCAACAAAATTATTATTTTTGTTTTAAACAGGAACTCTTCCTGGGGTGAACACCAGTGCAGGGGGCAGAAAGTCCTTGCTTTGAGAGCTGTTATCAACTGAATTCACCCAAATCGTGCCAGGGTTACACCTTCTGTGCAATAACTCTTGCCACCGTGACGGCAGCTGGCACAAATGTGGGTCTGGGGGGCATTTGGGTCTCTCCAGCAAGTTGGTGCCAGCCCCTCAGTGTGCAAAGCAAAGCTGGGCGCCTCCTGCCTCAGTTTCTCCCGGTGCCCATCAGGTCCGGCCTCCTTTCCCCAGCATTTTGGGAGACCCAAACACCCCATGGCTGGAGAGAAACAACCGGCATGGCCCCGCTTCCTCGTGCCTGTGGTGGCCAAAGCTCCCGTTGCCGAACGACGGGGCCGTGACGTCGGTCGAACCCAGGGTCCCAACACCCTGAAGGGCTCTGCTGGCATCCCCTGCCTTGTTTTTTTTTGCAGCAACGCAGCCAGCTTTGCAATCCATCCTCATTAACTCTTTAATTAGCGCATCCCACCGGCGAAGCGACGCCGGCTCGGCCGTACCCCTGCTGACAGTGACGGCCTCCCGGGGAGAAAAAAGGGGGCTTTTTCTCTCCCCTCCTCCCCAAGGGGAGGAAGCGAGGGGCGAAGCAGCATTCCTGCGGCCACCAGCGGGTCACCGTGGCTGCCTCGAAGCGGTCGCTGGCGGGCCGGGAGCTTGGCGGCGCGGGAAGGAGCCAGGAGCAGCGGGAAGGCGGCCGCGGTGGCGGGCTGGGGCTGTCCTGCTGCTGGCTGCCCCCGCTGCAGGTCCCGGCGTGCCGGTGTCAGCACACGCTCAGGCTTATTCCGCTTCTGCTCCCTCTTCCTCCTTTGAACAGAAATGCCCCCTGCCGCTGCGGCTCTTGGCGGTTGGGCTGCGAGCCTTGGCTGTGGCACTGCACGTTTATTTTTCACGGGCACCTGCATTTTCTACATTTTTTTGGCAGCCTGGCTTTCCCGGTGCGTGCGTTACACCCCAGCTGGAATGTGGCCCGGGTGCATCTAGCCCAGCTCCCCCTCTTTGCTCATTCATCCCATGAGGAGGTGAGGGACCTTTCTGTTTGTTTTCTTTTTCTTTTTTTTTTTTTTTTTTTTTTTTTTTCAGGAGCTATTTTAAATCCAGGGGAGCAGCACGTCAGGGGCATGTCACAGCTCTCGTGTCCCTACACCTCCAGCACTGGAGCTCACGGGGCGGACGACACTGTTGGGGATGATCTTTCCTTGGGCTCAGGGCGAGAGAGATTTCCTTTTGGCTCTGGTTGCCCCTTGAAGAGTGGGGTGAGCAATAGCAGAACGGGTAAGGATTACTATATAATAATAAAAAAAAAAAAGAGATGGTTCTGCTATACAGCAAAAAAATCCCTCCCAACCTTGCCAGCTCAGCAGGGAAAAGCATGAGAAGCATCGGGTGCTCAGCCCGGAGGGGGAGCTGGCTTGTCTCTTCGCATTCACAGGACACAATCCCCTCTAGCAGATGTCCTCATAAAGCCTGGGTGGGCAGCCACGGCCGGGCAATGTCACATCCAGAAAATACAGCGCTCTGCCTGCGCCTTGCCCTTCGCGGCCGCCAGGGCCAGCGCACAGCTGTTTGCAGCATGATAAGGTAGGTTATGAAATGTGCCAAAGTTGTTGAACAAAAGAGGCCCGTTGGGCTGTTTCAGCTCCTTTCCAGAGCCCGGGGTGGGCTGACAAGGGGAAGATGGATGGGAACACGGCGGGCCCTTCACGCGGCAGGAGGCTGCCCTTGCCTCGGAGCAGCACAAGGCAGGGAGGCCGGGGCTGTCTGCAGTGGTAACATCGGCTCTTGCCCTAGGCTGGACATGTTTTCTGAGGCTGGACGTGGTTTTTGAGGCTGGACATGGTTTTTGAGGCTGTGCAGCCCCGTGATTGCCCCATTCCTGACAAACCCAGCCGTCCTGCTGCAGCAGGGAGGTGGAGGCAGCCTCCCCTGGTGGGACCCTTTCTCTCTGGAGAAGATGCAGGACAGGGGTAGGGGGCCCTACACTCCTGCAAATTCCTGCATTGCTGTAATTCATCGTCTACCCCAGGGCTAAGCTTCTGTGACCTTCCTGCACGCCTTAATTCTCCCCCCAGTGCTGTGGGGCTGGTAAATCCCACCACAATGGGAGCCTGGGAGCCTCAGGGGGATCTTTCCAAGCAGAGCTGCCCTGTGCTTAGTATGGCTGATACACACTTAATTTAACAAATGACAATATTGACTTTTTTTCCCCTGTTCCTACCCAGATCTCCAAGCTGACAGATTAGCTGACTGTGACTTTGGCAGGACCAGCTCCAGCCCGTGGGGGAAAGGGCCAACTTGGGCAATGCCTCGCATCACCTTTCAGGAAAGGGTGCAGCTCCTTTCCAGAGGCAAACAATGGCCGTGACCTGCCCAGGCGCCCTGTTTCCTCCTTCTGTGGGCAGCCCTGGTGTGTGACCCCAAGCTGGGTGCGGTGTGAGGAGGGTGGTGGGGAGCCCGGGACGTGTTTGCCTCCACGTGTCCCCCAGCTCCCCTGTGCTGGCACTGTCCCCATGGCCCTGCTCTTCTCTAAGCTGTGCAGAGGAAAAGGATCTGGGGGTGTTGTTGGTCAATGCCTGCCTGAACGTGAGCCAGGAGTGTGCCCAGGGGGCCAGGAAGGCCGATGGCACCCTGGTTGTGTCAGGAATAGTGCAGGCAGTAGGAGCAGGGAGGGGATCGTCCCCCTGGGCTCTGCTCTGGCGAGGCTGCACCTTGAGTGCTGGGTTCAGCTTTGGGCCCCTCACTACAAGAAGGGCATCGAGGCCCTGGAACATGTCCAGAGCGGGTCTACGAAGCTGCGACACGAGTCCTGTGAGGAGCAGCTGAAGGAACTGGGGGTGGGCTGGAGAAGAGGAGGCTCAGGGCAGAGCTCATTGCTCTCTGCAACTGCCTGAAGGGAAGGGGTGGGGAGCTGGGGGGTGGCCTCTGCTCACAGGTAACTGTGACAGGACCAGAGGGAATGGCCTCGAGTTGTGCCAGGGGAGGTTCAGGTTGGCAATGAGGAGCCATTTCTCCTCAGAAAGAGCAGTCAGGCATTGGGACGGGCTGCCAGGGGGTGGTGGAGCCACCATCCCTGGGGGTGTTCAAGGAAAGGTTGGACGTGGTGCTTGGGAACATGCTTTATCCCTGGGGTGTTTAACGTGGTGCTTGGGGACATGTCTCAGTGGGTGGCACTGAGGGCTGCCCACAGCAGCAGCCCCATTACGCCCCCCCGCCACACTCAAGATGGCCGCGCGGCCCGGCCGCCACTCCCAAGCTGGCCTCCACGCCCCGCAGCGCGCATGCGCCACACCCCCGCTGCCCTTCCACCTCCCCTCTGTACGAGCCACTCCCAAGATGGCGCCCGCCCCTCCCGCGCATGCGCGGTGCCCCCGCCGCTCCCAAGATGGCGGCGCGGCAGTGACGGGACGGAGCTGAGGGGGAGCAGCAGCAGCAGCAGCGGCTGCCCGGTGGAGCGCGGCCTCGGCTCCCTGCGGCACCATGATCCCGAGCGAGGAGGTTTCGGCCCGCAGGAGGGAGATCGAGGGCAAACTCAAGCAGGTGGGGCCGGCCCGGGGGGGGTCTGCGGCGGGGCCTGGGCGAGGGGCCGGGCCCGCAGCCCCCGCGCGTTGCTGTGGAGATGGGCCCGGGGCCTCCCCCCCCCTCCCCCCCACATCCCCTCCCCTCAGGGCCTGGGGGGGCTCCGTGCCCCACGGGGCTGCTCGGAGGGGCTGGGGGGTGTGAGGGGGTCGGGGCTGGGGGGTGCGGGGTGGCTGCATCGCTAATTTGGGGGGGGGGGGTGTAAATCTTTGGGGTACGGCTGTCTGCACGCTTGTGGGGTCAGCGTATTGGGGGGAAAGCAGTAATTTGTAAAATAAACCCTGCTGTTTATCTTAAATATCTCGCCTGGGGTTAAATGTCCTGGTATCTGTTAGGGTAAAAAGTGGTCAAAAGTGGCCTCAGCGTCGTGTTATAAATGGCTCAGTCCCAAAATAAGATTATCATCAAAGTTTGCAATTTATTAAAAGAATAGAGGTAAGCAACCAGCGCTGGGTGTGTCAGGAGTCTCCACTCCACCTAAACGCACACCAGTTACATCAAGCAGCTGATTTTTATGCTCCTAGGCTGATGCATATTCATTACTACTTCTAAAAAAAACCAGGGGTATTATAATATCTCACAGTCGGACCAAAGTTGGCTTGCTGCTGTGTTCAGCAGGGCTCGTGAAACCCTGCGCGTGGTGTTGAGCGGGTTAAATGCTCGGTGTTCTGCAGTGAAAACTAACTGCGTGTTTCATCCTGATGACAGGAGGAAGAAACTCTGTCCTTTATCAAAGAGAGCCTTGAGAAGAGCGACCAGCTCACGAAGAACATGGTAAGGAGGTGCTTGAGGTTCAGCCTTGCTGCTGGGTGTAGGACTGCTCGTCCTTAGGAAAATCCATTTTCAAGAGCCTCATCGTGCCTGTGTGAAGAATATACAGTAATAAGCCACTTGTTCTACATCTGTATTTTACATTTATCTGGCTGGGCAAAAGGGAAGGCTGATGAATGTTTGAAACCCAAGCCTCTTTCCTGGGAAGATGTGGGTATAAATGCGCCTTTGGCTTTACAGTCTGTCGTTTCTCTTGGGAAGAGGTATTAACAAACACCAAACTAATTCGTGCAACAGCATCCCATCGTTGCTTCATAAAGGCAGGTCTCGTTTGGGGTTTATTTTGAAAATGTTTTGCTAAAGAGATAGAATGTCATTATTGCACTCTAAGTGGTGCTAGTAAGCCCTCAGCTGGCATACTGTGCCCAGTTTTGGGGTCAGTGACTTAAGAAAGTCACAGACACATCACTAGAGAAATCTGGAAAGCATAGCATAGGAGTGCGTCTTGAAAGAAGTATGTTTTGTCCTGGAACAGATGACATTAAGGCACCCTTTATGCGCTTGCTGAGGTTTTTCTGAGTAGCAGAGCCCGGGATAGAAGCTGGGACCTGAAGGCCTGGGACTGCCCCAATCTCACTATTAACTTCCTGCATGGATCCTGTGGAAGGATGTCCTCAGCTCGCTCTGTTTCTCTCTGTAGGTTTCCATCCTATCCTCCTTTGAAAGCCGTTTGATGAAACTAGAGAACTCGATCATCCCAGTCCACAAACAGACAGAGAATCTGCAGCGCTTGCAGGAGAACGTGGAGAAGACCTTGTCCTGCTTGGATCACGTCATCAGTTACTACCACGTGGCTAAAGACACGGAGAAGATCATAAAGGAAGGGTGAGTTCAGCAGCTGGATCTTTCTGGGGAGCTTCATCCTATTGATCTTTTGGGACAGAAGGAAGTAGGAGCTGACTCTGCACACTTAAAATGTTCTTTGTATCCTTCCCATGTTATCCCCTCACACCAGTCCTCCAGAAAGCTTCCTGACTTGAATATCAGCAATCCCCAGAGGGCAAAGTCTGCTCAGGCTCTGCACTGATGTCTCTCCCAGATTTTACTCGCGTTTTGCCATATGAAGCTCGCTGGTGGCTTCTCTTCTTTGCTCTTTCCACAAGAGTTCTTTCTGCCCTGCCAGGAACTGCACAGTGGTGGCAAGAAGTGCAGTCGAAACAGAATTCATGATCTCCTCTTACCCAGAGAGAAAGGAATTAGAATTGTCTGTATTATTTTCATCTGGAGTTTGACCTGGTGCTTGCTTGGTATTTTCTTCCTTTGGTTTTGGGGCACCGCTTTTTATTTTTGCTTTTATTTTTAGCCCCACCGGGAGGCTGGAGGAATACTTGAATTGCATGGACAAAATCCAGAAGGCAGTGGAGTACTTCCAGGACAACAGCCCGGACAGCCCAGAGCTGAACCGCGTGGTAGGTCGCAGATCTGGACGCTGGCAGGGGTGGGAGAGGGATGGACGGACGGACAGACAGACATGTGCCGCTTGCCCTCCTGCTGTGAGAGGCTGGTGGGCTTGCTGCCTGGTGAAAAAGGTGTTTGGACACAGCTAAAAAAAAAAAAAAAAAAGTGGTTTTTGGCTTCTTTTTAAATCTGACCCTGGCAGTGTTTCTGCTTGTGGTGTTCTCCTCATGCTTTGTGCCATTCGGACTTGTGAAAGCGTTTCGTGCGCGTGTGGTGGAGTCGATTGAGCTTCCCCCTGAGTACCTCTTGTCCGTCCTTCAGTTGCTTGAGCAGGATGTGAGATCTGTTGCAATTCCACTTGTAAACAGAGCAACTCCCAGGCATTTTTGTATTTAATTCGCCTTAAAAGTCTCTTAGTTACAGGCGTTGTCGGAGCTCGAAGCATGCGGTACTTGACAGTGGTTAGAAACACTACAGAAAGTGAGACCTCATGCAGAAAGACCCATGAATGATTACAGACACCCTGTGCTTCTTCTATCCCTCTGCTCTTTTGTGCCAGAAATCCCTTTTTGAGAGAGGAAAAGAGTCACTGGAGTCGGAGTTCCGCAGCTTGATGACACGGCACACCAAGCCAGTCCCGCCCATCCTCATCCTGGACCTGATCAGCGGCGATGATGAGATGGAGACACAGGAGGAGATGTCGCTGGAGCACCTCCCGGAGAGCGTCCTGCACGATATCATCCGCATTTCTGGCTGGCTGGTGGAAAACGGCAGGAACCAAGGTGGGCATTGCTCCTGGCTGAGAGCAGAAGTGGAGTGGTGAGGGTTGTTGTCAGCAGGTAAGTGTGCAAATCACACACCTCCAGCCATGAAACCTCTGCTCAGGTGAGGTTGGGACTGACAAAGCAAGAGTCACGCTGCTGCTGGTAGCTGGCAGCACAAGCAAAACGAGAAAAAGCTTTAGTGACATCTTCTAGGGTAGGAGTTCTGTCTCTGTTCAATTCCCTTCTGAAGAGCCTGCGTCCTTATGCTGTTTGTAGTAGGGATGAAACGCGCTCTGTCAGTTCAACAGTGATCTAATGAGAACAAAAGCTGCGTAAGTAAAGCACAAATCATTCAAAAGCATAGCCTGGCCTGTAGCAGAAATCCCTGACAGGGGCATGTTATTTAAAGTGCATCTGCAACACCTTCTGTTGGAGCTGCAGTCACCTAGGGCCCAGGTGCTACAGCTGTACAAGACACTGATAACAACTCCCCTGGAGAAACTATTTATGAACAAAACCTTGTGTGTTAAATGTGACCAGAAAGGGGTGTAAAAGCAGCACAGGATTTTTTTTTTTTTCAGTCAATACACATCTCTTCTTTCCTGGTCTGCAGCACCAGAACCTGCCTACACCTCTATACTCCTTTATTGACTTCCCATCGTTTCCAAAACTGATGTGCTCTTGGTAGTAGCGTGTGGACTTACTGTTGGGTGTGGTGGGAGGGCAGGAGTGAAAGCTGCAGGGGAAGGAAGCCAGGTTCGGAAGAAATCAGGAGATTTTTCTGGCTTTAGTGTACAAACTGGACAGGAGCTGACCCTGCAGTGTGGGAGGTGGTCTCTGTGCTGGAATCAAACGCGAGAGATCCTTAAGGAAGGAGTTCTGAGGGAGCTGGGCTGGAGAAGAGGCAGGCTCAGGGTGTGGCATTGACATGGGGAAGGGAAGGGGGTGGAGATGGAAGAAGGGTGAGCAAGAGATGGGAGGAGAGAGCAGTGTGCTGAACCCTGGGTTAATCAGCTCGTCCTCTGAGGGTTCTGTTTGGAAGGAAGGCCTGGAGGTGCTAAGGTTGGGCATGGTGTGAAAGATGTGACAGGACATTTCATGGCTTATTGGTTTTGAAGTCATCATCTCAGGGCTGTGGCAGAACAGGAGAAGTTGCCTGCGGGAACAGAAGATTCAGAGCGATTGCCTGGATTCTGGTTCAGGTTTCGCTGTCTTTTATGCTGTTAGATTGTTTGCGTGCTTTGGTTT